CTTTGTGCTTTTTCTTCAATGTATTATATATATATATATACATCCGCAGTCATCAAATCCCTTTGGCCTCGTCTAGAAATACACCACATCAAAGGCCATGCTTGTCCTTTATATATAAATAATGTGTGAGCCGTTCGATAACGCCACCGGCACGCAAGTAAGTCGGCGGAAAACCTGGTGGGTCCCTTTGTAGTTTTTCCGGCTTATCGTCGTCGATCATCCGCAAAAGCCGTTCGACCGGGATTTCCGCCGTCACCAACGAGATGCCAGATGGATCCCTTGCGACCGCAAAGCTTCGGATTGCCAGACCCTACAACAGCACAATGATCTCGGTTTACTTCTTCTTCACAGACCCCCCTCCCCGCATCATAATAACAATGCAGGGACGGTGCTAGGATTTGCGGGGCCCCGGGCAAAATAAATAATAGTCACATCACCTACATATATTATCCAAACTAACTAATCTTTGAACAGTATAAAATATCATTTAAGAACTGCGGGGCCTTAATTATAACTTTAAAATCGCGGGGCCCGGGGCAACTACCCTGATTCCCCCCCCCTCTTGCCATCCCTGTGTAACACATTACACCGCACCTGCATGTCACATGTTACCTTTTTGGAATTCTCGACCAAGTGTCCGTCACTGTGAATTATAATATTATATTTTGAGTATAATATATTATATAGGTCAGTTGCACGCATTATCTTATAAATTAAAATAATATTGTAGTTTCTTCATCCAAACACTGCTTGAATCCTCTATAATTCAGAATTCTCAATATAGCAGTTCTCTCATATTTTATTGGCTTGCGCATACCTATGAGTTAATAAGTCATGTTAAGCATTTAAAAGTTTGAATGAGCTGAGTAAAGTATACCAACCTTTTGTGGGGTAGTTATTACTTGCACGCAGTGCAGCTGCAGTGCATCACTCCGCTTCATCCATCAAAACTTTAAATAAGTAAGGACCAACTTAATAACAAATTTGGAAATTCTAATACTCAATTTTAAATTATTCAAAAGTACATAAAGGTGTATCAAAATGTTCTCTAAACAATTACCTATCTGCTTTGAAATATGAATTAAATTAAATTATGTCATTCAAAATATGCGACTGCGACAGTGATTTAAAATAGTGAAAACAAATTATTTAATTTTTAAGACATCTTGTTTTAAATGACTTCATAACGATAAAAATATTTTATTTTTTTAATTAACACTTTTCGAGATAATGATGAAATGTGATGATCTTATGATCTGTATACTGTTTAAAAAAAAATCATCCTGCGTGTATATACATATATTTAATAAGGATCTAGGACAATTCGCCGTGGCCATTTCGCCGTGAGGACATTTAGCCGGGGCCATTTCGACGTGGTGTTTAAATATTTTTGTCATTATAATAATAATAATTTGCTAAAAAATAATAATTCATTTATAATATATATTTCGTCATATTCAAAATTAAAAAAAAATTCGATTTTTGACGCTTCCGAGTCATGACAATGATGTACATTAATAGTTTTTATGACTGTGTAGTAATTTCTTCCTGTATGAATTCGCGCTTTGCAAAAAATTCTATTACGGCAACGCCAAAACCGTATATTGTATTATTAAAATTAACATTATCATAAACATACCTACATAAAACCATCATATTATACAAATATTTCACGACCACGAGTAGATTTCACTTGGGATTCCATTATGTTATGCTAATATGCTTATTAATTTACTGTGAATTGTGTCGCCAGATGAGAACTGATTAAAACTTTATTGCAACAATTGTAATCGTGATCGTCGTCATCGAAGGCCATGGGCGATGTGTAGACATTTTAAGATAAAATAAGATAAATCCAATAATATCAATAATAATATAATATATTATTATATTATATAGGGTGAATTTAATGTTAATTTTGTGTTTATAGTTTTATACACAATTTTTCGAGCACGGCGAAATGTCCGTACGGCGAAACGGCTCACGGCGAAATGGCCACGGCAAAACGGCCACGGCGAAATGTCCCATTTCGGTTTAATAAATAGGTAATCAATGATTCTTTATCATGTGTAATGATAAATAGGGTTAGGATGTTTATGGCATCAAACTCTAAAGTAAATGCTTGCAAATATGCGAAAAAAAATATTGAAATATGTCTTTTAAACAATACCTATAACAATATGACAGAATAAAATGCATCGAAAAATATTGTATTATTCTAGCTACCTATTAATTTTGTTTCACTTTTAATAGATCTTGTTTTAATTATGAAAACAATGTTTGTCATAATATGTGTAGTGTGTGACTAAAAGAAAAAATATGAAAAAATTCATAACCCGTGATTAATCGATTTCAAACACTTGGCAATGCAAACTTTTGATGAGTAGAGATAGGTATTTACAAAAATGTATAAAGACATTAGTTAAAATAATATAGGACAAATATGCTTTTTGTACTTGTTATTAACATTTACTATCTTATAGGTATTTGACTTCATAATTTTAACAACATTTAACATCATGGCAATATAGGTAATAAGTAGGTGCCTGGTGCCTATTATAACAGCATGTATATTACCTTTGATAATCCAACAAAACAAATAGTTCTCTTTTAATGAGTAATTATAGGTGCTGGTACATAATACAAATGTATATTTAAGTAGTTTAGTAAAATAATAGGCTAATCTACCTGTAATAGGAACATATTTTGATTCTGGCTCAAATTAAGTAGCAAGGTAATATCAATATTCTGCTACATCATCTATGACATTAAAAATTAAAATATAATATTAATATTTATTACCTATACTATACTAAAATCTAAAAATATATAATATAAAATACCGAAATTGGCAATTAATCCAATACCTACCAGAAAATGTCTAATTGTATTATTAAATTAATTCGTCCAGTCTGGTTGCTTTCAAGGGCACATTCAAGAGGATGATGTAGAGGTTTGATACCGCATTGGGTTTTTTTAAAAGGTTTTATAAATACCTAAGATGCCTGAAAATGATTTTTTTTACATAAATTATATAGCATCATTTTTTTTTCACAGATCTAAGCCCCCGATACTAAAGTTTTGTATAAGCCCGAGGCCGTACTTGTGTGTGTGAGAGCCCCCCCCCCGGGTGTTGAAGGGTTTAATCTCCCCACCAAAAATTCGTTCTTAGTACGGCCTTGTATAAACCACTTGTTGGGTGAGTTCACTTAGTTGATGACTGATGAGAAAGACACAAGCTTGCCGTTAGGTTAGGTTAGGTTACAAGCAAGTTATGCGCTGTATTATATGGGTCAGCTTAAATTTTTCTAAAGAAATTGAGGTGGTAAAATTAAATAAATATTTTATATATAGTACCTAATAAATATAATTTTCATTTAAGGATGGGGAATATTTAACGACGGGCCTGGGTAGACAGTTCACAGTTGGATAAATTGCTTTAGACGGGTTTGTTGGAATGTTAATTTTTTTTCTACACCGAAATCGTTCAGTTTTTTAGTTATATGTTTGACAATTATAATCAGCTTATAATTCTATGATATCACATTCGTACTGCAATAATATTAATACATCTGAACGATGGAATAATTTGACACAATGCTAAGCGACCAAGGATCTATAATCCTTAATCCCCCTAGCATTAAAATCTTTATATGAATATTAAACATAGAAGTTCCATCCCCATAAATACTAAATATACCAGTCCAATACGATTTTAGAGTACTTGGTCATATAGCTCATATAATATGATAAATAATACCTAATATATTATTATCTGCATCCTGTCAATTTTTTTTTTTATAAATCTTAAATAAGTATTTACATGTACCTACATGTCTGATATTTGTATCATTTGATATAAGTATCAATAATTTCAAGTTAAAAATACTGTAACCCAATGGCCTATGTCACAGAGGTTAAATTTATGTTACTAAAAAAAAAATCAAGTTAAACGCATGTCTTTCCTTTTAGAGGGATAAAACTAAAAGTATATTTCAACGATGATACCTAAATATCACTCTAAATAACTGAAAAAAGTGATAAATGTTTACAAGATTGCTATATTATGTTTTATACTTACCAATATTAGTTATATCAATAATGTGACAAAATTACCAACTATCTACTGTGTAGAGAAGACCTTCATAGTTCATACTGAATTAAAAGATTATAATATCTTTTTGCTATTTACGTTCTTAATATTTATATGACTGTAAATTGAACACAAAAATATTTTTTGTATTAACACAAGAGGTACAAGAAATAGTAATAGCCAATAGGTATGCAATTAACAAAGTAATGGTTCAATAAATCTTTATATATAAACTATTAAAAGTATACTTGCATAAAAATAATGGCGATTACCTTACTAGATAATACTAAAATCATCTCAGATGATCTCAAGTCTAAAAGCATATAAAAATTTCAAAGACGAAGGTCCAAAACTTGATTTCCCAGGATGTCCTAGAACTCAAGTGAAGCATATAAATACATAACACATAAATTATAAGTCTGTAGTATGGACCAAAATATATTTTAACAAATAACACAATAGAGCTTTAATCATACAAGTTGATCATAGGAAATTGGTGCATTAAGTCAATAACATTAGTGATTGTTTAAAAGAATACTTCTGTAGTAGGTACAAATTCATCAAATTATTTAAATTATTAACGACTACCATAATAATATAACATAACATACAATACTGAAGACTCAGTTAACTAAATACATTTTTGGTAGTCAATTTTATTATTTACTATCTTAAAGATACTTTCACATTGAATGGTATAAGTACATAATTTATTTAGTTCGCTGTGCGAACATCATGTAAACTAAAAAAACTAAGTCTATAGTAGATATTAAAAACTTTAGGTATGATGATAAAGCTGTCCATGAAATTAAAAACAAAAAAAATTGATAATATTTATGTAAGTTAAACAAAACCTTATATTTTAAACTGTAAATCAAATACTATGATAAAATTAAAAACTAATAACATTTTTATTTAATAATAAATTAACAATTTTTAATACAATGTATGTATAAGTTTTAACCATACACAAAGTGTTAGCATATTATGTTGTAAGGATACAGAGAATTTGATTTAACATATTAACATCTACCACATACTTGGATATTATGTTGACATTTAATTATTTATGTTTTATTTACTAATTTCAAATTGCGAATGACTGATCAAGAAGTGCTTTTAGTTCTTTTAAATGTTGCATTTTACTACCAGTTGCAGATGATGCCGCTGTTGGTCGTCCAGCATAACTATAAAAACAAATAAAATAATTTTCAATTATATTTTATAAATAAACATATTTTTCATATAGCTTTGTAAGTGACCTGATTTTATTAACAAAAATTAAACAACTCCAAGTCAGATTGAACAAACAATAAAATCATGATGATTTATTTTTATTAAGTTAAGACACTCATAACCTTGTTAGGTGTTTATATATTTTTAAATTTATTCTGTTTTTTACTAATAAGTACCAAATATTATGTTCATATATTTTGTTTATATTAAGATAACTTATTTTTGGGTTTTCACTTATGTTATTAAAAACACCAATGTTCTAGAATTATAAATTATATCATAAAATGTAATTAGAAATAGAAGCTGACAGAATTGAAAAAAAAAAAAAAACAGGCTTGATCAAAATTTTTGAAAATGAATTACATGATCCCATATTAAAGCATTTCGACCTCTAAAATAAAATGTATAAGTATAATTTTTAATACATCTAAAGAAGTCAAATATTTCTAACATCTTTCAACAACTTTAAAAGTGCCAAAATATTAAACCATATTAAGAAAATTATAATTTAAATATTTATTAAAATTTTAGATTCTCTATGGCTATCGGCTTATGAATTATTATTAAAAAAAAAACTAATAATTTTACCAAAATCTGGTAAAACATTCCTATTATCTGATGTTTTTTTAGTTAATTTTTTTGAATATTTATAAATAGTACTGAGAATTTTATACTTTTAAAAATACAAATTAGATCAAATTTTCTACCAGAAACCATACAATATTAAATCACTTTTACTGCTCCGAAACATTATGACTGACAAAAAAACAACAACATACATCATTCAACAATTCTAAGACCAATACACCTCTTGCTCACCCAGAATCTAAAATATATTTATTTATTGTAATCTCACCTAATACTTTGAGTTGAATTTTTCTGGTTGGATAAACTTGTTTTTATAACATCATCATTTGAACGAGAAGAAAATATTTGTGAAAAAAATCCCTCAGAATGTTTAATAGATGGCCTGCACAAATAACAAAATACTATTGTTTTTTCCTATGCATACTCTCTCTAAATATATTTAATTTAAATATTTTTTAAACCTGACCATAAAACAATTACCAAACATAAGTTTACATTTGTCCATAATAGAGTGTCTTACTATTTATCATTTAATCAAGGCTGGGCATTAATGAGTTAAAAAGTTAAAGTTAAGTTAAAGAGTTAATTTTATCTTAACTTTTTAACTTAAATAGTTACTTTTGGATATTCATTAACTAAACTATTAACTTATTATATTTATTTTTTAATCAACTTGAAATTATCGAGTTGATTTTCATTTTACGGAAAAAGTTAAGTTAATTTTTTACATTTCACTATTTCATTTTTATGTCAAAAATATTTACCATGATTTGTTAGTTAAAAATTTAATATTTTTTCAATCACTCTGTATTCTAAAGAAACACCCTGTATAGTGTATACATAAGAAAATAGTTTATAATAAAAGATTTTATATTATTAAATTAATAATATCAAGTAACAATAATAGGGTAATATAGTCCCTTTATGACTATATGGCATTATGGTTATACCTATATGGGTATATTATTGTTATCGACGAGTGACGACCGAAGTCGAAGTCTAAAAATAAACATAAACTAATTCATTATTTTTAGGTATTTATAACTTATTAATTATTATATATGTAACTACTGTTCTTTTTTTTTAGAAATGAAAAGTTCAATGAAATACAATTAAATACTGTATAAAGTATAAGCATTTGTTCTATAGTTAATAGTTATAGTCCAAAAATTAGTTTTGGGTTTCAGGGTTTGTAAAATAACAAAGTATGTGTGAAAAAAAAATTTAAAAAAATGTGTATTAACTTTTAACTTAACTGAGTTAACCTATAATTAAATTAAGTTTTAACTTTAAACTTTTTGTTATTGGCTCATATTAACTTAACTTAACTGAGTTAAAAAAAAATCATTAACTTGCCCAGCCTTGAATTCATTTTACTACCTTAATCATATTTTTTTATATTTTTATTTCAACAACTCTTATATTCCTAAATAAATGTTTAAATTAATTCACCTAACAGTTTTGGTGTTGTTCAATACTGTGTGAAATCTTGGTTGCACATAAGGCCAGGGTCCTTGATTTTTATGTTCTTCCTGTGACCATACAATATCAGCGTTAGGGTACTTAGCGCATTCTTTTTTGATTAAATCAAATGGGAATGGTGATATTTGTTCAACTCGTGCAATAGCTACAGTATCCACAAGATTATGTTCTTCTCTTGCTTTGGTTAAATCATAGTACACTCTTCCAGAACAGAATATTAATCGTTTAACATTGCTCGCATTGTCAGCAGCAGTACCCTTTTCTGGAATTATTCTTGAAAATTCTGTGTCTTCAGTCATTTCATCAAAACTAGATTTAGCTTCAGGGTGACGTAACAAAGATTTAGGGGTCATTATAATTAGTGGCTTACGGAACGGTAAGGCTATTTGACGACGAAGTATGTGGAAATAACTAGCTGGTGTAGAACAATTTGCAACCTGAATAGTGAAAAAAGACATGTTAAAAAAATATATTTAAATTAAAAACTAATACTTACAATCCAGTTAATATCATGCAATTGGCGTACAGAAAATTCATCGCTTTCTGGAGGGAAATAATCGGGATCATCAGAACTCATTTGCAAGAATCTTTCAAGTCGGGCTGATGAATGTTCCGGTCCCTGGAAGGTATAAAAATAATTATGTTTCATTGAAATTTACACATATACATCATTTAGGGCCAGGATTTATATGCAATTAAGGTCTATAAAATATGCAGATTTATATAATAAATATACAAAATTATTATGTTCAAAAATTAATAAACTATGGTTTTGAGTAAAAATAATACACTACTTAAAATATAGGGATAAAAAGGTTTATTGAAAAAAAATTTCTAATGCAGTCCTATTATCATTAATTTACCACTAGAAAATCCAATATTTTTTGTCATTTGTCGATAACTTATCGATGTACATTATCATAGAATATTTACGATCAATAGTAGGTACTTGTACAGATGTAAATATAATTATTTTAAAGAAAAAAAGATAGAATTATAATGATTATTAATAATTTATTATAATAATTGTAGAATATTCAACATTTATGGAACTAGGTATCAAGAAATATGCAAAATATGGAGAAAAAAAATTAACCATAAAATATACACATTATGAAACATAGACATTCATAACTAAAATTATTCTAGATGAATTATAGAAGAATATAAACCTGGGCTCTATATATCAATATTGATAACAATGTATTAATGCATTACCATTCCTTCAAGACCGTGGGGCAGTAACATGACAAGACCAGACTGTCTAACCCATTTAGCTTGTCCAGAACCAATAAACTGATCAATTATACATTGAGCAGTGTTGTTGAAGTCACCAAACTGAGCTTCCCAGCATACCAAAGCATTTGGATTCGTCATCGAAAATCCCAATTCAAAACCTTAAATGTAAAAATAAAAAATTTTAATTAAATTCAATCAATAATATTTTTATTATACCCAAAATAAAATGACAAAAGAAAAAAATAATATTTGAAGAGTACATTTATAAAATATAAACATAATTACCTAACACAGCGAATTCAGACAAAGAGCTATTGCATACGGTATATGGCGCTTGATCAGGATATAAATTGCACAGCGGTCTGTATGTGGCTTTGTCAACAAGTTGGTGATGAAGTACATGATGTCTATGAGAAAATGTGCCTCTTTCTACATCTTGTCCACTTAATCGAACGTGAACTCCATCTTTTAATAGAGATCCAAAAGCCATTGCCTCTCCCAATGCCCAGTCAACAGTACGATTTTCAACCATTTGCATGCGCGCCTTTAAAATTCTTTCAATACCTAAAATTAAATTATATATATTTAAAGTATTAATAAGTTTTCTCATTTTAGTGAATTTTTAAATTATTTGTGGTACCTATATAAAATACATTTTTTAATCAAAATAATTTATTCTAAAAATAACCCCTCCCCCCCCCCAAAAAAAAATGAATTATTACTAATTTTTAAGTACCTCTGTGTATAACAAATTCAGCGGCATTCGGAGGAGGTGATGAAAATCGTTTACCAATATGAGTTWATGTTTCTTCTTTTACTCCAGACTTTAAGGCTTTTAATGGATCTTTTCCCTCAAAGAATCCAGACCATGGAGAATCTAACCAATCTTTATATTTAATAGTAGTTTCTTTTCGTGAAGCTGCGTAAGCTTCTTCACAAATGTTATCATATTTATCCCAAACATCCTAAAGAATAAAGTGAAAATTAAATATTAAATAATTCGACATATACATTTTCAATACTTAAAAATTTTTAATTTTATATTTAACATTACTTTAACTTCTTCTTTTGTAACTACTTTTTCTTCAATTAATTTTTCTGCATATTTGTCTAAAACTGGTGGAGTTTCTTTTATTACTTTGTACATGATAGGTTGTGTGAACATCGGTTCATCTATTTCATTATGACCATATCTTCTGTAACTTACCTTAATTAAAATATAGAAATTAAATAAGTACGCAAATATTTATTTATTATTAAATAATTACAAGATCAATGACAACATCTTTGTGGAAAACATTTCTCCATTCAGCAGCAATATTGCAGACATGCATAACTGCTTCAGGGTCATCAGAGTTGACATGGAAAATTGGAGCATTTACAACTCTAGCAACATCTATAAAAAACAATATTATACTTAAACTTTATTTATGACACATTTATATAATTTTTAAATACAATTTTAAACATGTACGTGGTACATATAATAATTCATAAGATAAATATGTACCTCAAGTTCCACTAGTATTATTGTTTCTTTAAATTTATGTAATAATATATTTATTTCCATATGAACTCATTACCTGTGCAGTATGGCGATGATCGTGAATGTCGTGGATCAGTAGTAAAACCAATTTGATTATTGACAACAATGTGAATTGTTCCATGAGTAGTATAATCGGGAAGATCAGATAAATGGAATGTTTCATACACAACACCTTGACCACAAAATGCTGCATCTCCATGAAGTAAAACAGACATAACCTAAATTAAAAGCAATAGTAATATAAAGTTATAGTAAATAAAATATATATTTGTCATTACAAAATTGGTGATTTACACATTTATATTTAAATTTTAAATTTGATCACCTAAATTAAAAAATATTATTGTGAAATTTATATGTAAAACAACATCCACCTGAATGAGTGACGAGAAATCAATATTTCTTTAATAATTATAATCAAGGCTCGGAACTTTATGCGCTAAAAATTACTCAAATATGCGCATACATATGCGTTAAAATCATCAAAATATGAGGTAAAATATGCAGTAAAAAAAATATTTAATGTAGAAATTGAAAGCGTCAAAACTCTAAGAATAAAAGGAAAAAAAATTTGGGAAAAAATTGGGTAAAAAAATTGAAAATATGCAAAAATATGCAATTTATTGAACAAAATACATTTTACATGCAAAATTGTAAACATAATCGTTCACAAATTACCTACGATTTACAATATATATTTCATATCATGGTACAAAATATTAATGCAGTGRTAAATGTTGATAAAAATAAATACAGGCCGGTCGGCGGTCACTATTACCTACGAGTTCTCAGTAGTATAGAGATAATATTATTGTTGAGTGCTTAGAAGCAATACAGTAATAGCTGTTGATGAATTAATTTATTTTGTCAAATTATATTAAATTTAGAATTTTGGTTGTCATATATCTAATATTTTTTTGTTTAACTATAAATTTCTAAAAAAAAAAATTGTTTTCGTTAAATCTATGAAATATACATAAAAATGTTCTTAAACCTAAAATATGCGTATTCGTACAATAAATAACAAAATATGCAAAATTATGCAACAAATTTTGTATTTAAATTATACGTACAATGAATCGAATTTGCATCGAATCAGAATTTCAATATGCACTTTCTAGACAAATATGCAAATGCCTAAAGTTCCGCGCCTTGATTATAATAAAGTTCATAATTTTTTTTTTTAGTAATATTTTAATAACAATGTGTTCCACTTATTTATCTGTACTTATGAAATTACAATTTAATTATTATACTAACTTTTTTTCCTTCGCCATCTCCTCTATAGAACTGTTCAGCTCTTGTTTTTCCTTGAACCACTGGATCTACAGCTTCTAAATGTGATGGATTAGCCACAACAGCTAGACGCACATTCTTATTTGTTGCACGATTCAAACGTTCTATGTATGTACCTAAATGATACTTAACATCTCCTGATCCCTAAAAATTATGTTTATTTAAAACAAGTTCAGTTTTTAATGTACAGTAGTCACTCAATAATTTGAAATTCATGGGACCAAGCAAAAAATTTGAAATCAATTCGAATTAGAGTTGAAAAATTGTATGTTATTTTTCACCTGTTACAACTGCCGCGATAATTTTCTTCTGTCGGCGATCAACAAACACTTAAACTTTACAGAACCCATATTCCGACTAACTACGTTTTAGTCAATTTCAACAACTGTTTACAAATTGCAGAGGTTTATTTTGGTAATATTGTATGATTTAAGTTTAGATTAGATAGGTAAAATACGATAATATATTTTAATCACCGTCATTATTAGTTTCATTACCAGTATGTCAAATAGATTGTACATAATCTTTATACTACATATGATCATACATATAATCGTGTTTAAGAAAATTCAAATTATAGATTCTGGAAAAAAACATTTGAACTATAAAGTGTGTCCCACTGACAGACATTTCGAATAATCGAGGGGTCCGGAATACATGTATTTTCTTCTAACAGAGGTTTTCTCAGAGGACTAAGCGTTTAGTTTGATTTATGGAGTTTTTCGAATTATCGAGTAACTACTGTATTATGTAATCATTGATTGTATAAGACTAAACATAAATTAAACATTAAATTACATCATCTTCAGCTTCCAATGCAGCAAATTGTGTAAATATTTGACTTAAAGGTTTACGACAGATATTTGCTAAAACATTTAACCTTCCACGATGAGGCATACCCATAATAATTGATTCTACACCGTACTCAGTAGACTTATCAATAACTTGTTTCATTGCTGGTATTAAAATTTCACACCCTTCTAAGCCAAACCGTTTTTCGCTTGACCATTTACGAGCCAAAAAAGATTCAAATCTAATAAAAAAAAAAACGAAAATATCATACATTAAACCAATAAATATAAATTATGTTATAACGAATATAGTAGAGCTTCAGGTTAAATTAATTAGATGAAATGAAATTTCATTGAACCTTTATTTTATCTAGAAAACAAATTGATTACCCAGTGGCTCGAGTAAGTCGGGCTAATATAAGCCTTTTTTGATCTTTCTCCATTTCCATTATACCAGGTGTTTCCATTCGTTGTCTAATCCAATTACATTGTTCCAATGAATTAATAAACATAAATTCAACACCAATTGAACGACAATATGTGTTTTCCAAACGGTTCAAAATTTCTTTTAATGGTAATGCATTCTCTTTGCCACCAATAAATGTTGTAGACGGTAGTTTGAATACACGTTCCATATCAGCTTCATCTGTTATTTAATGAAACAAAGATATTGTATTAACTTAAATAAATAATAGTTAAAATAATAATAACAATAATAAAATAAAATGGAATAATACATTATCTTTTTCAATGTAGGTGCACCTAAATATTGAGATTATACATACATACAAAATTTAATCAATAGTTATGTTAGTTAAAAATCAATCATAACACACACAAAATCATCAATAATGTCAAGCATGCATAAATAATAGTAAAAATATATGTATAAATAGCACAAACTTACTACATACCCATTAATTCGGCTACTTTATTCTGAAGGTGTTGAGAATACGTAGTATTATCGGGTGGTTTGCCTACAAATAAACTCTCAGTTTAAAAAAAAACAAGTCCAAAAATCAATAAAAATTTTAATTAGGTTTAAAATAGAAATACTTAATTAGAGAAAAATTAAAAATAATCAAAAGTAAAATCGAATATCTAAATAATTTTTAGGTTATAAAAACAATAAAAAGTAAGATATTATTTTTAATAAGTGCTTGTAAGTGAAAAGTGAGATAATTGAACTAAATATTAAATTATTACTAATACTAAAACTAAAACAAAATCTAATTGATAAATATTTAAACTAAGTTTAACTATACTATCAATCTAAAATGTTAAGCAAATTATTGAAATTGTTTTATTGACTTATAAACAAAACAGATTTTTCTACTTTCAAAACTATTTAAATCATGAGTGATCTATTTAACTTTGATTTCTTATTGTATAAACAAATAAATGTTTATTAAGTTTTTCCTAATAAATTATTTTTCTGAGATAAAATGTATTATTATTATTTATTTATTAGTAAATAGGAATAAGGACTTATTTGTGGTTAACTGTGAAATTTAATACTCAGATACTAACTTGTCATCATAAAATTGAAGCTAAATTTTAAATGTGTATGAAAAGGCAAGATTGACAAAACAAGCAGCAATGAACAAAAAGCAAATTTTATGATAAGGTATTAATAAACTAGGAAACAGCATAAATTTGTGTTAATAACAAAATGCAGAATTCAAAAATACAAATCAAATTGTTTGCATTTATATTATGTAAATTATGTATAGTTTACTAACACAATATAGAATTAACAGTAATAATTTGAAAATATTCATCTTCTTTTTATAGTAAGATATAATTTAATGAGTATTAATTATTAATAAAATGTATCTAACACTAGAACAAAACTTGACATTTTTAATTAAATATTTAAAGTTATTAATATACATTTGTCCATTAAATAAGCTATCAGCTTATGATTTATTAAGTTTATTAAAATTTGAAATTAATTTATTGGTGTTTATTTTCTTTATATATTTAAAAATGAATAAACATCTTACATTTCTAATGTATAAAAATATAATGTAATAATTGTTTAAAAATCAATCACATGCATGCAATAGAAATTAAGTTATTAATTAATTTAATAAATGTTATTATAATAATTAAAGTACCTAATATAGATTGTATATTGTATTCAGGGTTAATTAAATGAAAGTTTTAATGTGATATAACTTTATCTTTACTTAATACATTAGTATTTATATGATATTAACTATTTAAACTTAAAAGTTAGTTAAAACCTCAAGCAAATTATGCATTTTAATAAATGATTTTTCACTAATATATAAAAATAAAAACAGCTATAATCTGTAGTCATAAAACAAATGTAATAAACAAACACAATGTTGCAGTTAAAATTTTAGTGTACAATGCAAACTGTACTACTTACCAAATGGAGGATAGCAACCATATAAAATTTCTTGAGGAAGTCTATCATCTTGGTCGACTTTACTTAAATTTAAAGGATCGAGGCGTGCAATATGATGTCCTCGTATCTAATAGGACAACAAACAAAAAAAGCACAAAACAAACAATTTATATTAGTAAAAATTAGAAATCATATTAAATTGATACATTTTAAGCTAATTATCAAACATTTTAGAGTTACAAATAATTAGTAAATTATCAAAATATAGGAGCAGTAGAAAAATCCAAAACAAACTAATAGTTAAAGTACCCAATTTCATGTTCCTAACTTAATTGTACATAATGTAGACCTATTATAAGATATAATTAAAAATTATGTATTTTATTAATTTGTACTGAAATTACACAGACAAAATTAATAATTTTATATCTGATTATAATATGGTTTGAATTAAATTTATAATTTAAAAATTGTATGCATATAGTAAATTGATATTGATATTGATGTACATCGTTTAATATTTAAAACCAATCAATGACAAAAACTTTACAAATAATTTTAGACAAACTTATTGTTAAACACATTAATACCATACATTTATTATTTTTTTTGAATATTTAATTTTTTGTATGTGTGGTAAAATATTAATAGATAGAAAAAGTATATATCAGTTTCATATCCACGAGCTTAAGTTTAATATTTTTCTTTTAATCCATTGACTTATAATCTTATATCATCTCAAGAAAAAATAATTTTTTTTAAATTTAAATTTAAAAATCAATACAAAATCTAACACATGATGTGTGTTTATATGTATTATTTTTATTATATTATGAAATTTAAAAAAAATTATTGTATTTTTGTTAAATAATCAACAATTCAGTTACTTATGGTTAAGAGAAAAATTCAATTTAGACATGCACACTCCAGAAACTAGTACTGATAATATAAAAACAAAACTGTTTAAAATACCTTAAATGTTTATTTACATTCTTAGCCCAATCTTACCAATTGAATGTTGTCTTAGAACAACATCATGAGGTCTACCTTTTTTGCGAGCATTTACCAAATCTGCATTTGTAAATCCAAGGGGATCAATTTGAGATACAAAATGACCTCGAACCTATAGTGTATAAAACTTAGGTAATATATTCCTTATTTATAAAATCTAGCTTATCCAAACAAATATTATTACAATGAATTAAGATGTAAGACATACTTTTGAAAAATATCAGTCAAAACTTTCAAAGTTCAAAAATTCAAAAATGAAATTTTAAAATTATTATCATCAATATTGAACATGATATCAATTGGTTTTTATTAAATATTGAAATATTTTACAAATAATGCATATTAAAATGTTATAAATAATTCAAATAATAGATTTTACATAAATAATATCTATTTTAAATGTAAAATACGATACCAAAAGTTTAAATTAAATTATTTAATAATTAAAATTAAATATGAAAATTAAATTTTAATTTTTAAGTCTATTATTTTTTATAAAAATATAATTTAAATATCACAATTTTATTATTCCATATTGGTATTTCTGATACTACATTTACGTTGGATTGATCCTAATATCTCAAGGTCCTAAAATACATGGATTAAATTTGCATGTGTTAATATATGTCAGTGTGAAATAGATCTACATACAAAAAAACATTCAACATGTGTAAACTATGTGGACAGTAGACTATGATTACTATGTAAGAAATTTTGGATGACCTTTTAAAGAGGATATTGTGATATAAAGATATTTTTTGTCAATTATCTGAAAACATTTTTAAGGACCAGATGCAATATATTTGTGTAGTTTCATATATTCTATCTTATAATGATTATAAATACATTTCATCATTTACTGATTATAATACGATTTTAATCTAATATTTTAAATCATAAATTAAAGTCTTGAACTTATAAAACATAAAATATACCTGATATGATCTTATAATCGCTTGTACTGCCAAATGATCGTCAATCATTTTTTCACTAAATACTCCGCCAATAGCTGTTGTACTTTGTACTCCAGGTAATAAACTAGACAATAATACTTCATTTCTTCCTGGTGGAGACAATGATGGTGGTGGCTGATATGCTGCACCTGGCTGAGCTCCAGCATTACAGTTTTTAAAAAAAGTATCCCAAGACTTTAAAAATACTTAACGATTAGTAAGTTATAAATAATATTTCATTTTAAATAATTCTAAATATATTTAATTAAATGCTGGTATAGTGATATTTTTTGCCATACTTTTAAATTTTAAATAATTCTAAATATATTTACTTACAACATTGACACTTTTAGGATCTGCTAACCATGCATTGTACATATCCTCAATATAAGAAGCTGAAGTACCATTGAGAAATTGCTCTTGGTTAACATTAGTTGAATACTTATTTTCTGTAACGGGTAATGATTGAGTAGCTCTTATCAGAGATCTAGATTTAGGTCCAATTAACCATGTTGCAAATTTTTGTCTGCCAACGATTTGTGGCACACAAGGAACTAATTGATTTACAACTGACTGGGCTCGATGCATTATTCTTAAACAAATTCAATAGTTAATGTTAGTAGATTTAAAAATAAAAATGATAATACTTATGCATAAATATTTGAAATACTTTATTGGTATAAACGAAGAAGACTCCCGGGTTTTGGTGCCTTGCGGCTACAACCACGGACCTCACATTAGTGCTGTGCGCTAGACGTGAGCCGTGGAGGTTCACGGTCGACATACAATGGTTTTACCCACCGGTCGCGCGTCGTCTAAGGACCACGAGCACCGGGCGCACACCCGTTCCCACCAAAGTCGGGAGAGAGTGTGCAGATTATTATCCAATATTACTAACCAACTACGTATTTTATAATCTGTTATACCCATGTAAATAACATAAAATCAAATTGCTACAACACGGTCATTTTTTGACTTAGAAAAGAAATTCAACCACTAAAATTCATTAAAAAATACCCAAAAAAATAATTTGTGGTCAAAAATGGATCATGCTATTTAAAAAAAAAAATTGTTGTGCGCATGCGCAAAATTAACTGTCAAAAAAATAGTCTAATTATTTGAAAATGTGTATAATAATGTTTATTAGTTAGCCGAAAAAGCAAAATTGAAATATATGAAGCTTACACATAGTTATTGAGTGTTTCCACTTCTCGTGATCACACTGTATACATACCAATTCAATGCTGTGTATATGTGATATAAGTTTTAAGTTTTATGTGTGTATACAAATTAAAATTAATTCTATTATACAATTGCCACACAAAATTTAGTGTATAAAGTAAGTTCTTGATTGTTATTAAAAATCACTAAATAAGTAAGATCATTTAATTTTACAAAAGTGATTTCATTACAAAATAATAATTATGCCACAAAGCTTCAAAGAGATACTATGTAAAATTAGATTTCTAGGTAAACCTCGAGGTAAACTTACTCAGAATATTGCTACACTTTTTTGATCAATCAAGTCATTACTATAACAAATATTTTAAATATTTTTATAGTAATGACTTTAAATGGTCAACGGAATGTGGGATTAACACATTGTATGCAAGCAGATGTAACCTACATAATAATATGTCATTAAAATAGACAAATGTTGGATTTTTAAATATAATCAGAAAAAAAGCGTTATTAAGGGATGGTAAGTTATAAAAAGTATAAAAATAAGATATCCTATTTTGCTATTGGGGACTGGAGAATAAATTCAATAACAATGAAAAATATTTCTTTATATTATTAATGCAGCTAAACAATTAGACTTTAGAGTAGGTACATTGCAGATTGTTGTAGTTATTATTATTTATAAACTAAAAATGGTTATTCTGTAGAAGTGTAGAGTATATAGTAAATAATTCATTCTATAACATAATTCAAAATCAACTAACAAATGAAAATTAAATATGAATACATAACCTAGGTAACTTATTAACAAATTCATAATATGATACTGATATATGCTTAATAAATGTATATATCGTGTAAACTGTAAATGCAAACATGCAAAATACAAAATTCATGATTATAATCTGGATATACCTATATTTTATACATGGCTTGTACATAATCTACCAGACAGAAAACTTGGTGTAAAAAGTGAGATAATTAGACGTTAAACTACTAATAGTATGTATTGTTCTTAAATTCATCAATTGTATGAATTTCAAGTTTAAATTACCTGTGTACACGAGATTTATACGCTTGTTCTATAATTTTATGCAAGATAAAATAGTAACTTTATAAATAGAATATTCAACCAACATACTTTCTGGTACAAAGCCAAACATCAATTGAAAGCGGTACAAGGACATTCAGTTTTTCTCATTATAAGACAAAATATTGGGGTAAAACAATTCAATAGGTTGATATTAAATTGCATTTTAATTTAAAATCACATAAGTGTTACAATATGTATTGATTATCTTATAATTTGGTACCTATTTATTTTTTCACATAACATTTCAACATAAATTCTTGTTAACTGCTATTAACCTTATAATTGAGTAATTTAAATAACTACCTATTAATTAGAAGTTTTTCTTATTTTATCAATGTAAGCAAAATTATTAGATTACAGGAATTAACATTGAGCAATATTTTAAGTTTGAAAAATGTCATGAAGTATTGTATGTTATCATCCAATTATCTAAAACTATTAAATAATTAACTGTAGAAATAATCAGATAATTATTAATTACTCATTTGAAATCGGAATAAATTAATAAAATAAATTCTTAAGTTTCTTGATAGTTCAAAATAATAACATTAATCCACTATCATTTATTATAAAGGTCCCCAATCAGGGACCAAGATTAATTTTATTTATTTATCTTGGTATGTGGTCCCAGTGTGATGGTATGGTGTCGGTACAGTAAAAAGCTTCTTTACATTTACCTGGTGCAATATGCATAATGCAATCTATGCACTCAATAGTTAAGAGTTATAAGTCATTGTTTATAGGTCTATGGATTAATGTACCTACAATAATAAAAACAAAGAAAGCACACTGATATAGGCAGCTTTTAAGGTCCAAAGTACAAAATATGATACAAACTACAAAGTGTAAACATGTTAAACATGTAGGTAGGTAGGTAGGTATTATATATTATGATGATAAATTAATCTGGCATTGAGCAGGCAGAATCAAAATTTTAAACCCGTTTTATGAATAGGTAGGTTAGGTAGGTAAGTTAATTATTACGGGAGTGGGTCAAATGGATGTGTAAGGCTAGCGGGGAGAAGGGATAACAGGGGGGCAGGAATTTTAAGGCAGATCGTCCAACATGATTTATGTAAATGTCACCTTGACCTAGGATAACACGAACCACTGCAACACTGTAGTTGATCACGCAAATACGCAATGTAGGGTCAGGATTGTTGATAAAAAAAATTTTAAAAAAAAACGCCTAAACAATTGAGGAGGTGGACGGGCGAGAGAAGCGAGAAAAACTCTCTGATAACTGATATAACGACTTAAAGAGAAAAAAAAAATAACTCATAACTGGGTTACGATTGTGACTTACTTTCTGCGTTCGGACGACGAGAACAGCGTGATCGATGGTACCGTGGATGATATCGTGTGTGCCTGACGACTGTGTCGCCGGATCGATGACGAATTAATGTAGTCTACTGTTGGAAAGCGTGTAGTCGTCGTCGACGTCGCAGTCAGTTGACGCGCGCGCGAAAAAAAAAAATTAAGAGAATTGATTACGACAAAAAAATCGAAAACCTCTTAACGGGCGTATCGTGTCTCGGCGCGAGCTACATGGGGTTCGGGACGTTCAGGTGCGACACTGTGATATTGCCTGAAATTTCCTCGAGCGTAGGTTACCGTACACGACCGAACGAACAGCTGTGTCGTGGACTACTGACTACTGAGCAGTGAACGGTCGTGAATATATTATTGCGATGGCCAGGCAATAGGTATCGATACCACGAACTGTGTTACTGACCGGCAACGTGACGGATATAAAATAAAATAAATAATTACGCGCAGAGAAGTCGTAGTGCTTGTGTACGTACGTCGAAGAGGTGTGATGGCCACGGAAGTCCTTGGACCGGCCGAAAACGACGTGGAAAAAAAAGGAAAATATATTAACGGCAGCTGCAGGCTGCTGGTGTATTGTGAGCGAGAGAGAGAGAGAGAGTTTCAAGTGAGTGACAGGAGCGAAAACGGTGTAGTGTAACGCTATTATCACGCGCGCGAACTACTGTATCACGCACGGGGACATGAGCGCGACGACCGACAAGACGGTAAACGTTGTGCACTTCAGCACTCTGACGCGGTGTGGCCGTGGCCCGTGGCCGATCGGAGAGACGACGGCGAAAATCGATAGAAAAAGTCTTAAAAGAACAACTATACCGTAATGATAACTCGTTATCAATTTATTCATTTACATACCGACACGAGATAAATTAAATTCCATCTACCTATATAATATTATTCTGGTGATTCGGACGCTGTCGAGTTAATCTGATATTATCATTTGTTAATAATTAACCGATTAATTATTGTGTATATTTATTTAGAAATCATATCATCACATTATTAAAAAAAAAGACAAATCCGTTTAAAATTAATTTATTACTTATTACTCAATGGAATGTCCAAATAATGCTAAGAGTAAAAAACTACCCACTTATGTCAGCGTTTCCAAACCTTTTTCGCTCGCGGCACACTAGCGTAACCCATATTTACCACACTTGGCGCTTACTTATATTATATGTTAAATAATAATTTTTTTTTAAATATAAGATCATTAGGTTAAGAAATAATTAAGAACATAGGTTTTCATCATAGTAATACCAAAATATTTGTACAATATCAGTAATAAATTACTAGCAAATAATTTAAAATGGTGTGTTTGTTTAGGTTAGGAAAACTTATATGAAATCATATTTTAATTTATCGAAAACTTGAAATTTATCGATATAGAAAAACAGAGACATTAGGACCATTAGGTACAATTAAGATTAAGTAATGTTTATGTTAGGTATACAAATCTAGTTCTAGTGAGACTATTGGGAATTTGGGATGGGTTTCGTTATAAGTTTCTCAAGTATTCGAAAGGTTGACAAGCACAGTGCATCACTTATGTTAGATAAAGAGTATCGTTAAAAATATTTTCACTTATCAAATCGAAATTATGCGTACCTAATCGTTTATTAATATTCATGATATTTAGCGGCACATCGAACACCAGTTATTGGGAAACACTGACCTATGTAGACTCCAAAAAAAAAAATAAAATCCAAAAATTGTACGCATATAAATATATAATATAAATATAGGTAAAGCAATTAAGTCGTTCGAATATTACGTCATATAAAATAGTATGAATTTTTTGGTTTATTTTTTTATGGAGGCTTCATAGTAGAAATGAGTGGATTGAGATCCCCCCCGAACAGCACTGAGAAAAAATAACCCTGAGATAAAAATTCCGGAAAATATAACCCCACATGAAATTTTGAAAATTTAAAAAAAGGTAAGCTACAGTAGGTCACTAATGGATGTGTTAAATTTGAATTCAAATATTCAATGATTAATAATTAATTATTATATTACCAACATTTACCAACTATTATTAAGTATTGTTATTAACTTTTGAGACAATTATACCACCTTGCGGTAAGACAATTCATCGTATAGGTCTATACAGTGGCGTATTTTGGGGGGGGGGGGKGTCCTCCATGTCTTGACACCCCCGACATTTAAAAAAAAGTCCTAATATATTGTACATTAGTGTTGTCATTTATTTTATAGTATACTATTTTTATCAAATGTAAAACTTCTTGTCAATTCCTAACATATTAATTTGTTAAAAAATTAATTCAATGTCTTTTTACATTAGTAAATAATACTCAACATTTTGTTTTTGAGGTTCAATAAATGTTGACACCCCCCGAGAAATCAACCAAAATACGCCACTGGGTCTATAGGTAAACTACTGTATTAGCTTAAAATTAACACCTATTAATATTTTGAAAATAACATCATTAGCACTCGTTGCACATAGTAAAAATTTTAGATTACATTTTTAAGTCCCTGTGAGTTATGTTTTTAAATCACAATAAAATAACTAGCATCGTTATTCTAATTTCATACAAATTTGAATTATTATAAAAATAAAGACACATTATACAATTATTATCGTACAAAATTTTATAAGAAGATGATTCGGTGATTCAGTTAGGTACTAAATAACAATTAATAATATAATATTATAATTTACTTTTATAGATATAATATGTTAATAAGTCCGATTTGTTTCTCGGATTTTTAGTTATCGTATATTAAAAATTAAACATAGGTTCTGAAAATCATGAGTTTCCAAATTCCAATGCCAATATATATTATACTATAATGTCAAATCTAACTAGACCTGATGGGGCCGATGGAGGTCAGACTGTCAGAAACTCACGCAAAAAGATATTGTAATAATATTATGATATGTACAACTGTATTAGTACCTACCTATGTCCTATATGTATATAGTACCTACACGCACGAGAGAGTGTAAGTATCTAGGTACATATATGGCTATATAATATTGCAGTGGTTAATCGAACATATAGAGGGAGTTTAAATAATTGTAGTGGGTTAACTACAATGAAAATTGAAAGGAGTACCTATATCTAATGTAAGTCAGGGACACGTGTTTAGTGTTTGTACTCCGTGTACGGTGTATACCTAACCTATAGGTAATACGATTTATGTACGTCATACACTCATAGGTACTTAATCAACGAGTCAATAAATAAAAATAAAAATTATAAAATGTATATAATATCGTTTAGTGAAAGCTAACCTAACCTAGGGGTTAAAATATTTTAATATCTATACAGCTTAGATTCTGCAGCTAGTGGTGTCGAAGTGTTTAAAATATACTAACTTAGTATTACTAAAACATTACTGTACATCAAGGGACCCACATTATTGTTCCATTTTTATAATTATTTAATTTCCAGATGTCAATCAAAGCATCTAATACAAATAAGTAATGTAATAATATGACGTAATAGTAATTTTTTACGTTTAAACGTATATTCTGGAGGATGCAGTATCTTTACGGTGGGTTTACCATCTAAAAATCTACTTTGACATAGGTATGTCATAGATAAATTAAGTGATCAATGTGCCTTACGAACCTTACTCAATGTGCAGAGACGTATTTAATGGGGAGGGGGCTGACAAACTTTCGATATATTTGATATGGCAGACGGCAGTCCACAACTCATACAGATGAGTGTCTATATATAACGATGATTTGACACGTGGAAGAACTTTTGTTGTATTCAATATTTTAAAATTTTTTTTTCTATTTAATTCATAGACCCTTACGTTACATTTTTGATATCATTTTTTTTTTCAATACTGAAAATAAAAAAAAACTTAAAAATTGATAAACATTTTTTTTGGAGAAATTCAAAATAGCCTATTTGTGAATCTGATTATAAGAAAAATTTTTATGGTAAAAAGATTTATTTAAGTTAAGGAGTTAATTTTTTAATTTTTTTTTTTAAATTCAATATTTTTTTCGTTAAATTTTTATTTGGAACGTAATAAGTTAACGGTAACTTTTAAAAAAATATGATTTTTGAGAATTTGCTAATATGAGTATATTTCTTAAATTATTTACTTATATTATATAATATTGACAATTATTTTTGTCATACATTTGATTAGCATATTTTTTTTTTTTGATCTTTCTGAGACACCCTGTATATACGTAGTCAAATTGTTTTGAAAATATGTTTCTGTTGTTTGTAAATGTAAATTAGTTAGTATTGTAACCATCTATAAAAGTATACTTATCTAATATAAAAAATTACAAGGAATATCCTTATAGAAATAGTGGAGCAGTGGCATAAATACGGGTGGGAGGGGATTGTGTGATATTGTTCTATCACTAGTCGCACAATTGATCACGTCGCACCAATTTCTGACTTTGCCATCGTTTTCAGCTTCCTTAATTATACATATACACGTTAAAACAAAAAAACAATAATTTAACACGTGCATTTCAGTGACCTACTCAAACCTATAATACCTACTAAAAATACATAATGATATAACTATATGCATCACTAATAGAAACCTATTCTACTGCACATGGGCGGATAGGCCTACCGGACATTTCCCGGTGCCCCCCCTTCGTATTTCGGTAATGGGGCCCTTTAATATCATATATTATTAAATTCTTGGGCCCCTTTTTAAAATTTTCCGGTAGGCCAAAAATGGCCTATCCGCCCATGCAGTACTGCAGCCTACAGCAGAGTAACTTTCCTGGTTTTTCATAGTAAAGTACCTACCTTCTAAGTATATGGTACCTATACGTTTTCCATAAAACTAATTTTTAATTTAAACTCAGTGTTCGGTCATATTAGACGCGTATTGCCTTTTAATTAATAATCGATCGTGAATCGCAATTTTAGCTATATTATATAATATTACTTATGTTATTTACATTATGTACAACAGTGATGATTTCTAAATGGGAGAGCCAATTAAAAATCGTTTAAAAATTAAATTAATATATTATTTATATTGTGGAGACAAATTTGATAATTATGATTAGTTATCTATTATATCATTATATCAATATAGCATAAAATATGACAAGAATAGCAGATATATAGATATTAAATATTTAAATACATCCCACCGAAATAAATAACATTTTTAATAACTTCTTATTCATTATATTACTATTACTAACGTATTATAAAATAATAAGCAACTTACGTCTTTATGAGGTACCCATATAACATATAAGTACCGACTTATAATGATGAAATACAATTCTATATATGTGTCCAATTCCAATCTAAAACTTTGGGAATTTACGACCGACGAATTCTAATAGCACTAGTAGTACTAAGCTCGCGTTGAAATACACAAGTTTTAAAAAAAAAGAGATTTTTAAAGATTTTTTGGAAGTTTAACTGAATTAAACATTTATGTCGTTTTTTTTTTACAATACCATATTCACAAAACAATAAAAAAAATATATTGGCCGATGGAGGAAACTATTAAAGTTATATTTCGTCTATTTTGGCTCCACTTGACTCGTTTCTTCCATGAAAACGTGTTAACACTCACAATCAATAGCAATCCATTGATGATAATAGTAATAATAATAATATTATATCGTACTATCGTAGTTCGTGGTCGTGGTGTATAAATTCGTTGTCCTATGAATGTGAACATTGTGAACTATGAGTCTAAAATTAGTAAAATCTAAATTTGATATTATTTCGACATGCATTACGTTTCGGATCGAAGAGTAATATGTTACAATAACCATTAATGCCGGGATTAAACGGTAACCTAAATGGCAGACGTACAACTTCAATCCCACGAGCTAGACACAAAAGACGATGACAATAAGACTGTCGTTCTGTCAGACGTCGTCAACCGTGTAAACGAACCAATCGTTTACACTGACACCGACCTGATTTCGGATGTGAATCTTCTATCGATATCCGAAAATAACGTCTATAGCGGCGATGTAGCGCAAAACGATTTGCCCTGTTTGAATTCTATATCGTCGTCGACTTCCTCATCGTCGTCTAGTCAATGTAAGCCGTCGTGTTCGTCTAGTGATGTAAATAATAGCCACCTTGCCGAAGGTTTACAACAAATTAACGGTGTCAAATATGTTTGCTATAAAAACGAGCAACAAATGAAAGATATTATGCGGTTAATACAAAAAGACCTATCTGAACCGTATTCAATTTACACTTACCGTTATTTCATACACAATTGGCCTAAACTGTGTTTTCTTGTGAGTTTTACTTAATATTTTGTGGTATTCAATGTTCATTACATAACTGCATAACGTCTGATTATGCGCAGCGCATTAAACATTCTTGTAAAATGTTTTGTCCGTTATTGTATTATGTTCTAGGCTGTAGACGTAGACAAAAGCGTCGGAGCAATTGTATGTAAGTTAGACGCACACAGAAAAGTTAAAAGAGGTTATATTGCAATGTTGGCAGTGGATGAAAATTATCGAAAACAGCATATCGGTATTTTACCTTACGTCAAACAATCTAACTAAATTAGCGTTTAAGATTTTTGAATAACAAGTATCTATATTTTAGGTTCCAACTTAGTATTGAATGCTATTGAAGCTATGGTGAATGATGGAGCTGATGAGGTAATGATTTTGTTTTATAATTCTATATCCATTAATTTAATCATACAAGTTCAAATGCTTAAACTATTTAATTTGTGTTTCTCATCTATAAATAATTGTATGATACAAATTAATACAAGTTATTTGGTTGTAATTCTAATTATAATAGGTACAGATAACTTTTAATTTAAAAAGTTCAATATCTACATAATATGAGGAACTGTTGAAATATTTTTGTTCTTGGCTCACTTTTCCTTATAAGTTAAATAACTTCTGACAGTGTCCAATTTTCTTTGTCATGAACTTAAAAAGTTTGAAGGCGTGATTTCTATGTTTTTGACAAACTCATTAGATGTGTTTTCATTTCAACTGATTGATCGAGGAAGGTATTAAGAATTCTAAAAACAGATTAAAACTTTCCGTTAAGTTTACTTAAGATTGACTTTACTACATTTTTCCATAAATTGAATTAATAAACATTTTTCATATATTTTTTTTAGGATTCAGAGATAAATAATAGGAAGTTGATCACAAGTAAATTTAAATCTGTTCTCAGATTTCTTTCTGCTTTACTAATTGGTTTGTTGAAATAAAAAACCATTGATTATCATTATAATATATCATTAGAAAAAAAGTTTTAATCTGACAATAATACGAAAAAATTAATGTTTTAAGTTAAAGATTAAGTTATTTTTATCATGGTACTTATCTATTATAACAACTCATACTCTGAAATCCTTTTTTTCTAGCATCCTCTATTTACATTAATGTTTTCAATTTTTCACCAATGGAACCATATTATTCTTACACAAACCTTACTTTGTAAATAAATTATTCTAAATAGCTAAATTTTATTAGTTATAGTAGTTATTTTATATAATTCTAAGTGTTTTTCTAAATGTAATAACTACCTATTACCTATTTAAGTATTATTGACTTAATATCATAATCATTGATTTGAAATGTTTAAGTTTACATAATACTTACTATCTCTGCTTTACCAGTAAACATGAATATTTTATGTTTAGAGAAATTCATTTTACAACTCTGTTATATTTCTTAATATTGGAATTCAGAGTGATTGACCTATTACAAGCTAAAACATTTATAATAGGTCTCAAGTTCTTTAAAATTAAAAATACGAATAAATCTGATTTTTCTGTTGTGCAATATTAAGTCAGAAACACAAAGTCCTCTTAAACTGTAATATAATTAATGTAAATTTGATTTAGCTAAGTAGTTTAATGCTTAAGTAATCAAAATGAAGTGCTGAAATAATCCAAGTGTTTCTTATTTTCTAATCTGACAGGTTTGAACTTAAACTGTGGATTTATCTAAAACTGGTACCTAACCCATATTTACCTAATGCATTTTGTTCTACATTGATATAGTCAATTATTTATTATATGTCAAGAGTAATATTAGATGTTTTTATAATCTTTATGAATATTTGATTTGATTTAAAAAACAAACAAAACATAAATATTTAATGAATTACATTATTGTATGAATTACAGGTTGTGCTTGAAACAGAAATCACCAATAAGCCAGCATTACAATTGTATGAAAACTTAGGCTTTGTTCGAGATAAACGCTTATTTTGCTACTATTTGAACGGTGTGGATGCCTTACGTTTAAAATTATGGCTCAGATAAGTTGCAGTGGTACATTTAAATTATTAAAACGTTATGCGGCAAATAAATATACACAGTAAATCTTCTTTTATACTGTGCATAACACTATGTGTAGATTTAGTTCATTTGATGCATATATATTCATATATATAATAATTATGGTGTTTATTTATTATTACCTGTTGTTATATAAAAATTCTTCAATATAAGATTTAATTGAAATTCAATAAAATATTGTTTTAAATTTGATTTATCTCTTGGTTTTGATAGTAGCGATTTCCTTATAGACTCATAAAAGAAACTGAAATATCATACTCATCATTCATGTGACAATAATTGATGTATKAAATAAGTTTAGTGCTTGCTCTGACTTTTTAATCTATGTTCCTAAATAATGGTCATTTATATTTTTAGCTGTTCAAAGGTTTTTTTTTATAGCGTTACAGATTTGAGTTATTATTTTAAAATGAGTCACTAGATAATAAATTATATAAAAACATAATGTTTTACCAATGGAGTCAACTAACACTTACTATCAAACTTGGGCAAGAACATTATCTGTGTTAGTGTGTACTTTTTTTTATGGTACTTTATAAATTTGTATTCTTAAATAAGTTTAAATAGCAATATTTTCACACTTTACCTAATAAAAATATAAAAAATAAACATAGTGACATACAGCATGAATAATATTATTCTCTTTCAGTTTCATACAAATTCAATTCACATTATAATTAATGCTAACAACACAAAATTGTTCAGCTGAATGCAAACCTGATATGTTGTTCGTTTGTAAAATGGAGACAGTACTACAGGTATAATGTACTCGTAAAAAAATGTATTTTACATTTTCAAAAAATCAATATAATACTACAATTTAAAAAAATGCAAGATAATATTCTTAGGACCTTTCGTTAAAAAAAAAAAAAAAAAAGTCAGTATTATATAATATATAATTCACATCATTTTAAGGTACTTTCCTTGTAAAAATTATTGATCCATTGATCATAAAAATACAATATGACAAATATTTCAAAATAAATAAAAAATTAAGTAAAAATAATTATCTCATACATACAAATTTTATGTTAGGTTATTTTATTTTCAAGAATTATAGATTAAATATTAGTATTTATAATAACAGTCTGATTTGTAAAGAAAATAGTTTAAATTAATATGTATAATAAGTTAGTTTGAAGTATAATAAAATAACTATACTATATATCTACACCATAGTTTAGATAATACTCAATTGTTAAAAATTTTGTGCATCCTTCACTTTATTAAATATATCAGCGGGCTGTGTGTTACCGAGAGGCTTGAGGAAAACTAGTAAAAAAGAAAACCATATATTCATAAATGAGCATACCACACAAAAAAATATTTTCTTTAAATTATTGTAATCACAACTATTAAAAACAATTAGGTCAAAATACAATGTAAAAAAATATCTAAGAAGATTTTAGGGTACATTGAATAACGGGATGATATCATTGGGCTGTGTTAAATATAATTCACTAATTTACATGGGTAAAAATTGCTCAATTTACAAAATGATTTACCACCAAATTTTATTTTTATTTTGAATCTTAGATTTACATATAAATGTGTAAACACATTTTGGATCACATATCTATGACGAAAATTCCAAAATTACCTTTAAGTCAGGAGTAAATTATTGTGTGAAGCAAGCAACTTTTACCTGTATGAAACCTGATTCAGACCAAGAAAAAATTGTCTGAAACATATTATGTTTCTGACTTTGTCAATGACAATTTTTTTTTGGTCTAGATGGGGTTTAAGATAAGACAATTACGGTGTGCTGAACTCAATGACATCACTAGTCTTTTTTTCTATTCTACATAATTCATTGATATTGCGAGTAAAAATATTAAACAATTTCTTAGGAAATAAAATTATTTCAAAATTAAAAAAATATATTTTTGAGTTTAATGCTCCTTAAAAAGAAAAATTCAAATCAAATGTAGAGTATTAAAATTAGTTACTAATCCTCATTGAGTTGATCTAGCAAAATTATTATTATACATATCAAGTTTCAGGTGATTGAGTATTGAGAACCCATATACTTAAAAACTTAATCAATAGTAAATCTATATTTGTTATTCATTGTGCAGGGAGACAATGTCATCTATTTTGGAACAGAGTATAGATTCCATTTTAATGTTGATGTATATACCTTAATTTCTAGTCATTTTCGGATTCATAAGACATAAATAATTTTAATTGTTTAATAGAATTGTTAGCGGAATCATTTTCTTTTTTATAATTTTCCCATGCCGCATTTCTTTCATTCTCATCTAACTCTTCAGCTTCGTTATTTTGTAGCAATGAGTCATGTTCTAGTATGTTCATAACAAGGTCTTCATGCCTTAATATTAATTCAGCCATCAATCGATCCTTTCACAATTCAATATAAAATATAATAAAAACCTTTTTAAAAAATTAATTTAAAAATGGTACCTTAGGTAGATTTAATGTTGATTTAGGTTTCATCGTATTTGGTTCAAATTCGTAAAGTTCATCCTGACATTTAGCATTAAAATGACGATCAATTTGATGTTCATCAACTACACGGAAAGCCATTGATAACTTTGATATTTGACGTTCATATATTTTTTGCTCCATTGTACCCTTACAACACAGATATATTAATTGGATAATATATTCAATATATTTGAATAAAAAAAATATTTTGTACACAAAATATATTAAGATTTAACAAAAATTAATCATTTAAAATGAATTAAAACAAAAAATTAACACAAATTGAATTTTAAAACTATGGTGGAAGGGGGCATAACAATTTCTGGTATGAAAATATTATATTATTACTATAACAGGTAAAGACAAATACTAAAATATTTAAACTAAGATTCATAAATCATAACAGTTAAAATATTGAAACCGAAGAAAACTATTCAAAGTAATTTAAAACATATACAGGGTGATTATTTTATAGAAGAACACTCATACTCATACACTCATACTTTTATAAATAATGAGTGTTCTTCGATAAAAAAATCACCCTGTATACATAAAATAAACTTAACTAAGATTATGGCCTTTATCAGATTTTATTTTATTTACCTCAGAAATGAATCTATAAACATAACATGGTTTAGTCTGTCCAAATCTATACACACGAAATATACTTTGAACATTTAAGGAAGGATTCCATGTCATATCAAAAATAATAACTMTATTAGCACCAACCAGATTAATACCTAAATTAAAAGCTTTTGTTGACAATAATAAAAGACGCATTCTGAAAATAAATTATTTCACAATTAAGTTAACAATAAATTAGTCATAATAAAAATAAAACTAAAAAATAATACCTTGAATTATTGACATCATTAAATTTTTCACAATAATCTTCTCTCTCTTTTAAATTTACTGAACCATCAATTCTATAAAAATCTTCACCCTGAACCCAAGATTTACCATAAGGACCCCCTCTTTCATTAGCTTTATCTTCAGCATTTTCCAAAAAATCTTGGATGAGATCAAGAGTAAATAATGATTGACTGAACAATAACCTATAAAAAAAAATAATTTATAAGTTCCTAAACAAAATAATAATCAATTTTCTTTTCCAACATGACAATTTATAAAAAGCATGTTTTTTTTATTTGGAGGACAATACACAAATTTATTGGTCATATCCGTATTACAAGTAACCATACCAAATTGTACGTTCAGTAGATCATGTTTAGCTCTGTTAGGTCAACTATTTGAATTGACCTCTTATACAATTTTAAGGCAAGATCTAGGGCACAGATTGGCAACCTTTTTAATGCAAGGTTCATAACTATGTATAACTCAACATTTTCACAAGCCAAAATTTGAATATATTTTACTTAATTTCAAATAAAAATGTATAATCATTATCATATCAACAAATTTAACAAGGTATTTACAATGATTACAATGAGCGTTTAAATCTGCAGCTTCCTATTCAACCTATTTTACTTCCTGATTTTAATACAAATTATAAATTTTACACTCAGGTCACAGGTTTGCCAAACCCTGATTTAGGACATCTCATAGGTTTTTTTATTATCGGGCGGCAGTATTGTGCTAAACATTTCCCACCCGTTCCCGGTTTTTGAACGGAAAAAAAAAGGTTTTTTTATTATACATTAATTTTAAAATACTCATAACTTGCTTTAAAATTAAAATATAATAAAATACCTAATAGATGCCCAGGATAATAATTTAACCTTTAAATTATATAAGGGGTCTTAAACCTAATGGAGCTAAACACGATCTGTTGAGCAAACAATTTTCTATGTAACATCATACTTTTATGACAGAGATAATAAATGTCCGTGTAACGTCTTCTTAATAAGTAAAAAAGGATCCCTTATCCAATTTCTAGTATTTAAATTTAACTTAATAGAATAATTCAAACTAAAAGATAAGTATAAAAGTAATACATACACTTTATCACCAATGTTTTCACATTCTTGAAGTATTGAAAACATCATTATAAATTTTGAATATGGGTACACAGATTCCAAATCAGATTTTGATACATATGGTTTCCACCACTTAAGGTATGTATTTGGTTTTTTAGTGATTGATGAATTAAGAATTGAGACTGGTATGTGCTTATCTACATAATTAAAATAAATCCAGTGTCAATTGAGGTTTATATTTTTATTAATTATTTTGAATTATTTAGGGTTGCCATACGTCCCGGAAAACTGGTACTGTCACCGGTTTTCGACTTTGTGTCCCGGTGTCCCGAAAAATGTTTTCGGGACGCCTATATGTCCCGGTTTTAGGAAAAAATGTTTAGTGTTTAATTTTGACAATTTTTTTTTCGTATAATAATAGAAATCGAGAGTCAAAATGTTATTGTTAGAGATAACAATTAATTGATAAATCCATAAACTAAATATAAAATAATATCGGTAAACAACAAACGAGTCGTGAGCACTGTGCAGTTTACGTTTTATTTTTATATTCGATCGATAATCAAACGTCCATATCCATACGGGTGATACAGAGGCAGACTAATGACTTTTATATCAGTAGAACATACTACATAGGTCGTAGCCTAAATTGTTTGTTTTTATTATTTTATTTGTTATTATGGCCCCAAAAAGAAAATGTCATTTTTGTGACGAATTTAATATTGTTAAATATTATTAAACAATAAATTAAAAAAAATAGTTTACATTGTTAATTTGTTACAGTAAAGTGTATAAGTTATAACACTATAACCTATTGTGTCATTTTTTTAATACATACTCAATGGCTTATATAATTTAATGATATTTATTTCTAAATGTATTTACTATTTTTTTTGTCTGTCCCGGTTTTGTTTGATGAAATTAGGCAACCCTAGAATTATTGCTTTATGCATATGCCATACAGAATGGCAATATGAACTTTTTTTTCCTATGAAGCAACTAGCTTAAATAAGTACCCGCCCACCATATTTTTCACACTTTATGCTTTACTTTTTACACATTTTAGTCGTATGATGTGACTTATTAATTATTAAGCCCTGGACAATTAAACTATTGGGATACTCATCCCTACTTATGCATGAGTCAGTCACCTCATATAATAGCATTTAAGACACCACTGGCCACACAACAAAAACATACATGTATTTTAATTAAGATAATATTAATAAATAGTATAAAATAGCTATTCCTTAAGAATAAACAATATCACAAATATAATTTTAACTTACTTTCAACTCCCTCGACAGAATTTGAAAAAGATTCAATGTAACTAATGTCTTTAAGTTTTTGTTTCTAAAAACAAAATATATTTTATTATAAAATAACTAATAACATATTTAAATTAAATTTTACTTCTCTTTTTGATTCTGTTCGGTCAGCATATACTGCTAAAAGTTTAGGATGGGTCCAAACTATTTGTAACATATTGTAATTTGTAAATAAATCTGGTTGTCTGTAAATATCTAAATATTTCTGATATAATTCTATTTGCTTATCAGACAACTTCAAATAAATTACATATTCGTGTTTAGGTGGTAGAAAAGGTGTAAGAACGCTATAATCAAATCTCTAAAAAATAAATCAACAAAAAAAAAACAAACAACCATAAATAATAAGTCTAATTATTATAAACTTTTGTAATTTCCAACACCATTGTAAATTAATAACTCACTAAGTATTGTTGTATTATATCACTAAGGCAAATACTATTATTGTCATATTCAAAATAATCATACATTTTAGATATTTAAGACAATAAAAGACTTTATTATTTTTTATCATTTTTTTTTTTAATGGTAGAGTAACATAACAATAAAGAATACCTGTACAAAGCCTTCAAGCATTTTATGCAAAACATGTGATCTTCCCTTCATCAGTTCTACATCTAGTGGAGTTGAATCAGAGTATTGCCCGTTAGTTATTGGATTAATAAAACGGTTAGTAAAATCTTTTATTGATCCTAATAAATTTGGTCGAATGAAATCAACCATACAATGATCTATATAAAAACAGAAAAAAAAAATCAACTTAAGAATGATAACTAAAAACAATTTTAAGGTATATATGAACCCAGGATAAATAAAATATACGGCGAACAAATTATATTTTTGTTTTATAATTTGTATAGATGAAGCTTGAAGCATTTAAATACTTTTTACAGTAATGACGATCATCACAATTATTGGCCAGTGGTTATGTACATTAATTGTTATAAATATTGTATGATTACGGCTTTATTTTCAATTTTTAAATGAATTTTGAAATAACAATTTTTTGAAGTTATAAGAACTAAAAAGCAAAGTTAACATACAATATACATACATTCTTTTAAATTATTTTGTAATGGTGTTCCAGTTAATACAATTCTTCGAAGTGTTTTAATACGATTAACTGATTTTGAAACTGTTGTAACATGATTCTTTAATACATGTCCTTCATCACATATAATCAAATCTGGCCCCGGATCAACGAGTCCTTCTAAGATTGAAGGAAACTTATCAATATACTTGTAATTAACAACGGATCTATATAACTCATAGCTTGTAATTAAAACCCCGTGTTCTCTACGCCATTCATCTATAATATTTTTTCGACTTTCATATGTTTTCGATCTAAAATTTATGTTGTATAGATTACTTCAAATTAACAACAAATGTCATACTATTTTAATAATGTTCTTACTCTGTTAAGTTAAGTATAAAGAAATTTTTTTTTTCATCAATACCAAGTAACCATTTATGAAATTCCTTACACCAATTTTCAATTGTTGCATTGGGAGTAATAATTAATACAGTTTTAATTCCAGTTTCAGGGTACCTAAATAATGTATGAACCAAAGCTATTATCTGAAAAAAATTTTAATATTTAATAGTATATTTTATAAAAAGTATAGTCCTTAAATATAGACTGTTAAATTCATATAAATTGATGGTTTAATTTTGTTTTATGGAATATGATAAATCAATAAAATAATTTAGCCAACTTGTTAATATGTATGTATAGAGAAAAAATATTACAATTTATAAGAAACAAAATTCTGAAATACAATTAATGTAATTTTGATTAAGTTATCATGACATTGTTATGGCTAAACTTTATATTAAATTTAGAAACCAATTGATCATAATTTATTTATTGAACAAAATAAAAAATATATAGGCCTACATACTTGTAGCGTTTTACCAAGACCCATACAATGAGCTAAGATTGATCCATTTCCTTTATGTTCTTTTATTCTTGATAACGATTCAAATACAGAATTCCACAAAAATGAAATACCCTTCACCTATTTAATTTTTTTTTTTTAATATCAAGTTAAACAAAAACATATCTGTTACTTATATTGTGCTATTCTAACCTGATGTGGTTTGAGAAACTTTACAAGATCTGGATGAACAACAACAAGTTCCTCATTTGTTTGAACGTCAAAATCCAGTACTAACTTTTTACAGGATCCTTCCAAGGGTGTTGGTAAATCACAAATTTCATTATACTAAATTATTTGATTGAACAAATACATCAAATTCAAAATAAAATATTAAATATATTTAGATATAATCTATAAGTATACATACTAGTTGTTGACGTTCTTGAATGCGTTTCTTTCTTAATTCTTCTTCTTTTAAGGCATTTTGGGTAGATTCACTGAGTTCTTTTTGTGTTATCAGTCTACGAATATTTTTTCGTCCTTTCATTGATTTCTAAAAAAAAACAAAAAAACTTATAGATCATGCATATTTCAATATATTATTAAAAATAATATTATAAGTATTAGGTTGAAAACCAATTGTAACTGTAGTGAAATAAATTGATTGCTAGGAAGTCAAAATCTTCCAAACTTCAAATTCTTTAATTTGTTCTAGGATTATTTAGAATTTAAGTGTAAGATTTAAGTTTACTAAAAAAAAAACTGAATATTTGATAGGTATGTGAAATTAATTTGTTTCATATTTATTTTTAATGATTATCCTATTATGTAATTTAATAATAAACAGTGGTAGCAAGGGAGTGAGCATAATTCCTTAATTACAAATCAATTCAAGTTATTTAATTTATTCGTAGATATACTTACAATATGATCATGAGGTGCTTTGTTATTATCAGAATCTTCATCAGACCTCTCATTAGACAGTTGTCTACTATAAAACATAATATTGTTAAAGATTAAATTAAAATAAATTGAATAATATGAAAACTTACATTTTTCTACGTTTAACTGTTATAGAAGTTGAATCTTCATCAGAACTGCTGCTGCTGCTGTTGCTTGTTGATAAATCAAATAAGCTTTGCTTAATCATTTGATTATTGATTTTAAGTTTCTTAGTATTTTTGAATGACGCATCCAAATCATTAGATGAGTTTGACTTTGTTAGCATTCTAAAAATAAAATTCTTTAATTACTAAAATATTGTAAGAAGTAATTAAAAATAGTAAAAACAAGTTATAGGTATATATATATATTTTTTTTTTGTTTATGGCCTTTTAGACCACACATCCAAACATAACTGCCTCCATCCTTCACGATTTTGTGCCAGCATATATGCCAATCTTCCTTCGGCAGAAAAACTGCTACATCCTTCCTGATACAATCCTCTCATCGTATTTGGGATCTTCCTAGTGGTGTTTTCCCTCTTAGATTCTCTTGTAAAACCGTCTTGTCAAAGCATCAGGTTTCCTCCATACATGACCTCCCCATTCCAATCTTCTTCTTTTTATCTTCTTAACTATATCCGGTCTGTTATTTAGGTGATGTAACTCCTCAATGTGTCTTTTACGCAATTCACCTGTTTGCAGGTCACGATATGGTCCATATATCCTTCTTAATATTTTTCAAAAGCTCTCAGTTTTGACTCGTCACTTTTCCTTACAGTCCAACATTGTGCTCCGTATAGTACTATAGATCTTATTAGTGTGGTGTATAGCTGAACTATAGGTATATTATATATTATTAACACTCTTTAATTAATATAAACACGTTGATGATAATGAACATTATAATAAATCTTTAAAAGCAAATATAATAATTTTCATAAAAATATTAACTTTAACTAGGAAGTACAAAGATACGATGGTATATTAATGTCAATGGCCTCATATTATGTAAATGAAAATAAAACTAAGTACATGGTGATGTCAAAGACAGACCAATCTAAACATAAAGACCTATTGGAAATTTGATGCAGTGGACAACTTCAAGTATCTGTGAGTAAACGTCATTAACAAGAATACCAAGAGATAAATTAAAGTACCATGAGTGGAACAAGTGTAACTATATAATAATTAAGCTACTAAAATCAAAATTACTAGCATGGACATCAAAGATACACTTATATCATAGCTATTTGCTACCAATAGTGACATGGTCATTAACATAATATGGTGATGAGAGAAAGTTAATAATATTAAAGAGAAACAAATACGTTTGACAGAAGAAAAAATGAAGAGATCCAGAAATTATACAATAAACCAAACATTCTAGCCTTTATCAGGAATAAAAGACTAGAAACGATTGCACACTTGGAGAGCAGATGATCAACTAATAAAAAAAAGTACTCGTGGAAAAATGAACAAAAAAAGACCCCTAGAAAGACTCAGGACCCGGTGGGTCGATATAGTTGCCAAGGATTTGAAAGCCATAGACGGCATAGACAGGAATGTGACATATGAGTCGACTTACAATAGAGAGAGATTCCTGACCTGTTGAAGGTAGCAATGGTCCTTAATGGACCGGTAAGCTGAGTAAAAGATATTAATGTAAATATTATGATATGGTACTTCAAACAATTTAATTCAAAAACAAATCAAGGTTAATTTAAAAAAAAGTATAGTCAATTATAAAATAGTCATATTATTGATTATAATATCATTAAATTAAATTACCTTTTTGTTCCTGTATTTTTTTGAATAGAATCATTATCATCATTACTAACTGATGGGACAGCAAGTGGAGATGATTGTTCAGAACAAGTGACAATGTTTTTATTAATATGATCATCAGACGATTCGGGCATTTCCTTAAAATACAATACAATTTAAATAAATAAAATCAACTTAAATGTTTTAGAAAAATGAAAAATGAACTATTAAATGAACTGAAAATTAAAATATTATGTATAACAAATTGTAAGATCTATAATGGAACAAAATAATTACAGGATTGTGTTTTGTGTACATACACTATAGTACTATACAAAGAGTAATTCACCAAGCACAATCACTTAAATTTTTTTTTTTTTATATGAATTTTGGTTTTTTATTTACTGAGATGTGATTTAAGGAGTTTTCTTTAATAGGTTCATGTATTTTAATTGAAGTTCAAATGATCTTTTTGTATCTACTAAGAATAATATCCCTTACAAATGKAAAATAAGAGATTTATGATGATTTAAAAATAAAGTGATTAATATCATAATATATCAATTTCAGTATATGTGAACATTTCCAAAAAACAAAAGTATTACATCTGATTTTGATTTTATGTAGAACAATATTATTAAAAATAATTGTCTTAGCAGAATGTCAATAATTATTATTCATACAACTTTTACTTACAGCAATTTCTTCATTTTTTAATTGATTAGACCCATGAATAGTATCCAAACTATTTTTTTCCAATTGTGTTTCTTCAGATAAATTACAGTAATAGTCAATATCACATTTTTTAGAATCAGTAACTAGTGAATTTTTCATATAATCTACATATAAAAAATAGTTTTTAATTAACACACAGTACAAATTAAAAACTAAAATTAGAATTGTATACAATACAATCAAAAAAGCTAGCCATATAACTAGTTATAAGAGAACTGGAACCTAAGAAATATTGGCGCATATCACAGGGGTTAGCACCCTAAATCTCATGATCATCTTAAATAACAATTAAAAATGTTAAAAATGTTCCCTCCTATTATGGGTCAAGATATTATTTATATATATATACATAATTAGATTTGCATAAATTGTTATAATTATGGGTGTGAATAAAAAAAAAAAAAATACTTAAAATATTCAATTCAAATTTAAAAACAAATCAATTTAAAATGCACTATACATAAATTTTGAAACCGAATCAAAAATTAAAAATAATAATGAATATAAATCTATCAAGCTGTATTAGGAAAAATGTATACTTTTAATCATTTTTAACCATTTACAAAAATATATAAGACAAACATTAAAAAACAATAAATATAATGCAAACAAATATTCTAAATTTAGTTCATTTGTCCCTAATTTAAATATTGTGTTTAGAAAGTTGTTTAACAATAAGCTAAAAAGAATGAACTTTCCTACAAATGTATAGCCCTATACAATATTTATTTCATATTATAAATTTAATATGAATACTATTTTATTTTTTACAAATTAAATTTATAAATACCATAGTCAAGCTCATCATTTTTTTTAACAAGTTCACATATTTTTTTTAACTGATGGACTTCTTTTTTTGGAGACACTTTCAAACTTGTATTTTTAATTTGATTGATATCAGTATTGTTAGTGGTAATTTCATCAGCTTCAATTTTTTTTTTGTAACACTTTTCAACACCATTTATCAGACTAAAATAAACAAATCAACATTACATCATTCTGTTAACTTCTATGTATTATTGGTATTTTTCCAAAATAAATTAACTTATACCTTTCATTTTCTTTTCCATCAGATACTTCATTGGGTATTTTTTTATTTTTGGTTGAATTTTTAGCCTGGTTTTGTTTCTAAACAATATAAATAACATAAAAAATTTGAAGGAAACAAGGTGTGTTTATAATCATGTTTAATTTTTTAAGTTAATATATTTATAATATTAATAAATGGAACATTTTAGAGTAATACATTCTGTATATATTGCATAATAATATGACTTTTCAGTGTATCAATATAAGTCCATTGTTAAATTATTCCAATATACATAATTATTAAAAGATTGAATAGATATTTTACCTTAATAATCATTAATATATTTTCATTGCTCAATTTCCTTGTATTTGCTATTCCATTATCACTATCATTATATTTAAATAAATGTTCAGTATCAACTATTTTATCTTTTACTAAATCAATATTAGCTTCATTAGAGAGCATGTTATTAATCACACTTGACACATTGGATTTGTTGAAATGTTTTTTAGTAACATTTAATTTCTTAACTATGACTTTGGATTTTGATACCAAGCTTGAAGAAATAGATATCTTTGAGTTTAAATAATTAGCATCCGTTTTGTGTTTATTTTGTGATCTTAAAATTCTTGTAGTACATATGTTTGGCTTATTCAATAATAGATTGCTTGGATTGATTTTCATTACTTCGTGTGAATTTTCATTTATTCTTGAATTACTTGTAAGCACATTATGTTCATCTTTATCAATGCATGAAGATTGCATTATATCAGACACACGGTGACTTAAATGTGAGCTTATATTAAATATGCTTTTAAAATTGGTTAAAGTAGAACAGGTTTTCTCTAAAATATTCCCAAAAATATTAGACAATCTATTTAAATGATCATCAAGTGGAATACTATTATCAAAAGAAAATTCTGATAGTTCATTTATTATAAATGACTTATATGGTTTTAAAATGAAATCAACACACAAGTTATTTTTAATACTATGATCTACTAAAGAATTTTGTCCAATTTTAGCTTCTTTTATTAAGTATTGTTTAACAGCTTGTTCATGTTCTGATTCGTTTACTAATAAACTATTTGGCATACATCTGAAAAATACATTTTCAAGTAACTCAAATTAATAGATTATAGATTAATGAAGTACTTCATATACATTTAAAAATCAAAACTAATAGGTATCAGATTTGTAGCAGACAGCAGTAATTAAAAAAATTTAAATTTGATTTTTTGGAATTAAATAATTACAATATTTACACGTTAAGATTTACTTACAACTGAGAAAAAAAAACTTTTAACACATTAGCAGCTTGAGCTCTTTGTTTCCATAACATTTGTGGTACACAGGCAAAGCATTTACTTAAAAAACCATTACCAAGTGTTTCAATTTTATAGTTTTCAACACACCGCTAAAAACATTTATAAATAAGATTATTTTTAACAAAATTATTTTTTGAATTACAACAGAGTCTTGATAATTTAAAAACCTTAATATCTCATATTTTTTCTTGTCTTATGAAGTGTTTTAAGTTACATTTGAGAAATGTACCTCAAAAAATACATAAAGCCACGGACACACAATGATAGAATAGTGAAAATTGCTGTCGTCAATGGTGCCGAGCACGTATGACAAGTGAGGTAAATACCCCAGAACATTTTTAGGTGGTAGGTTATGAGTGACTTTTGTTACAAAATATAGGGTAAAAACTAAATACTTAATAGTATTAAGGATATATTATACCCTTAAAATTTAAAACTTAAACTACAGTCTTTTTGAAAGAGGTGTCCCCCCCTTTATGCATCTTGGGTAGGTGATACTCTCAAACAAGGCTTATCCCAGTGCTTTAAAAAAAGTTTGACGCCAGTGGGTGTTGTGAAAGGCCTATCATGCATGTATGATATGAAAATGAATAATTAGATAGTAACTATCATAGAGATTGTACGTGTTCCAAAAGCAACTGTAGCATTTTAATTAATATTGTGCCTACGGCTTAACTACAATTTATTTTATTCCTTTTGAAATAAGAGTTATTGAGAATTGACTTTATAAAAATATTTTTTTTGAAGATCAATTTTAATTAAATTAAATTAGATAACTTAACAATACAATTTTTTAATTACCTTACAAATATTGAGATTGCACTTTACACAAATAGATTGATCTTTATTTGATGAGCATAAAATACAATTATTATCGACTTCACATAACTTGTAGTAACAGTTCTATAGAAATAAAATATAAGTACAAACATAAGTATTTACAAACTCGATAAGAATATTTATTTACTGTTATTAAAATTAAATGTTCATTATTATTTTAAAGCAGCAGTTCTCACTATGATTTTAAAAAGGACCAATATAATTTTTGAAAGTCTCTTAGATTTTTTCATATTTATTTTGATTTGTACAATCTGTATAAAATATTTTTAATAAGCACAATAGATGGAGGGATACATAAGAGGATTTGGTTGCCTTGATCGAAGAAACTATTCAATAATAGTACTTCATTCTTACATTTTTAATGATAATAATCGAGATAATAATTAATAACACAAAAATGATCAAATGCTAACTGAATTCAGTTAAGAATAGAAAAAAAAATGTATAATAGTAATAAATTGAGACAAGATATTTTCTTAAGAAAGAGTATTGTAGGAATTCATGAATGAAAAAATGTGTTTCTTGAACTTTGGATTTTAGAATGTACAATTTAATTTTAGCGTGGGCAGTATAGTGGAATCTGCTGTTCTAAAGTATAAATTTCAGAAATATCAAATAAATCATATAATAATTAATAGCAGTATGAAACGATGTAGATAGAAATCTAAACAGAACTTATCAAGGATTGGCAAATAAACAATTTAAATAACAATGATATTTTTATAATAATCTAAAATTCTTGAAATATACTAAACAATAAACATAGTAGGTACCAAACAATTATTATTTGAAAAAAAAAAAAATGTAAATACAGTAGAATTCGATCATTTTGATTAATTCATGTCAGAGATAGTCCAGGTAGACAAAATGTATACAGGGTGATTCTTTTAAGTGGGTACACTAATTATCTTGAAAAGTATTTACTTTTTTCAAAATATTTTTTTACATGGTTTCAAGTTGTTAAAAAACCAACGTTTTTATTAAAAAATTATATTTTTAAATATTTTTTATCCTTATCATTTTTTAAGTTTTTACTTTTTTGAATGACAACTAGAGTTTTAATTTCATATTACAAAGCAGAATATTTTTCTGAATATTTTGATTCATAAAAATCGAATTTAGGGCTAGTAGTTTTTGAGTTATAAGTATTTAAAGTTTAGATTAGCAGAGTGGAGTGGTACGGGGTTACCCCGCAAAATGTTTGTCCACTACTCCGCTTGTCTAAACTTAAAATACTTATAACTCAAAAACTACTAGCCCTAAATTCGATTTTTATGAATCAAAATACCTATTCAGAAAAATATTCTGCTTTGGATAAGAAAAATTTAAACTCTATGTTGTCATTCAAAAAAGTAAAAAACTTAAAAAATGATAGGGATAAAAAATATTTAAAAATATAATTTTTTAATAAAAACGTTGGTTTTTTAAACAACTTGAAGCCATGTAAAAAGATATTTTGAAAAAAGTAAATACTTTTTGAGATAATTAGTGTACCCACTTAAAAGAATCACTCTGTAAATATAGGTGTATCTAATTGAACATTAACATATTATATATGTTAAAGGTAGGCAAGTATATACCACTCTGCAGTTGTACATTAGATGTCGTGTGAGTCACTGAAATAGATGTATTAAATTTGAAATCAATAATACAAAATCATAGTACACAAACGATTCTGAACTATTACAGTCTGTCAGCCCATACTACTAACTAAGTATATTTTGATATTATTACTAACTATGTATATTTTGATATTATTACTATGAAAGTAATTTATTTTATTACTAGGCATAAGTATTAATGTAGGTTAAACTTTTTTCTGAAAAAATGCATTCGAAAAATACATCATAGAACATAAAAATTAACTTTTAAGGTATCCACAAATAATTTTTTTAAATTACAAAAATGTAACTAAAATTGTGCCAATTTAATGTTACTTTCCAGTTAATTTTTTTGTTTATAGTAGAAAAACTTATAGCTATGAAAAGCAAAATTTAATTTTAAACTGATAAAAAATTGCAAATTTTTGCACTATCAACAAATGTCAGCAAAAAATTGTTTATCATCAACAATCTAACAATTTTTAAGGCTTTAAGTAGTTCAAAGTTCAAAAGATTCCACATATAATTATCTGTGGATAATGGTTGTTTATAAATTTATAAAACTTATATATAAAACTTACGTGGCAACATAGAAATAGATGAATTCGATGAACCATTATTATTTTCTCCAAAATAATATCATTTAAAAGATCATTGTTACAAATTGCACATTCAACTTTACTGTTCAAAATGTCTTCAACTAGAAAAATACAATAAATTATAGTAAAATATAATAACTTATAAATTAAAAATAATTTATCACTGATTTAAATCAGTATATATTATTTTTGTTTTTGAACATATAAACATCGGCTACTGGGCCATTAGTTATTGACTACATTTATTTTCGGTACATTATTATTTTTGATTTAATCAGTGAAATATTTGTATCAAAGGTATCAAACGGACGATACAACAAACATCCTCAAGCCTGTTGAATATTATTTAGAATTAGGTATTTTCATTAGGATTAATACAATACATTATAATATCTATAAAGCAATTAACATTTAAATAGATAAGTAATACTGTAAATGTTAAATTATTTATAAATTCTAATTGAGTTTATAATTTTATAAAAATTAATAGATAAATGGAAATTGTCAATTAAAACTTGAATATTAATATTTTGATGCATACTTTAATTACTATAAGAGTTACAAAATACAAGAAACAGAATAAAAGTTTATAATTTTTTTCATATCCAATTAAAATGTTCAAATTTATAGAACCAAGGTGTTAAAAAAACTCTTAGGAACACTTATCATTATTATCCATGAGATTTTGATGGACATTTTTAAACAAGTATCTAAAAGATTAAATAATATAGATATTTTTTTAAATTTCTACAAAACAAATGCCTCATAAAATCAAATCTAGATATATTGCATCTAGATCTATATGCTCTACTCAGAATAATAAGTTTATAAAAAAATCACTTTGAACACACATGTATTTGCGCATGAACAATCTTGTTGACTGCCAACTTTATTTACATTAATTTAGTACATAATTTTCGTAAATTTCATAGGTATTGTACATGCAGTAGGTATCTATGCTAAGAGAATTGAAGAAGGTACCCATTAAAACTATCAAATAACATTTAAATGTCAACTACTTAATATCATTAAAATCTTCCTTGGTTTAGAATTACAATATAATATTCAAACAAATTTTAATTTAGATACCTGCTAATCTAATTTTAGAACATTTAAAACTTATTAGTAATTGAATTCTTAATGAATAACTACCATCAAAGTAAATGTATCTCCTATAATTATTATTTGATGATCCAACTAAAAACATTAACATATAATAAGACAAAGGTTGGTACGTTTTATATTTTTGAAAACAGGAAATTTTTCTCAATTCAAAAGTAAGCAATTAGTTATTGACGAAAACATTTTATATGGGTACATACCTGCCTATAAGTTGGTAACATTTTAGATAAATAAATAACTACTAAACCTAACTTTACTATTAAAATATAAAGAAATATTAAAATATTAAAATAGCATACTCAAATTTTGATTTAGTAAATTAATTAAATTTACTAAATCAACGATTTAAAAATAATAATATCACAAATGCAATACATTTGTCTATTATAGAACTAGAAAAATATAAGTTATTTCGTCTTAGGTAGACTGTTGTTGTAGATACCTATAAGATATAACATTAAGATATTATTGTTATATAATATCGTTTTAGACAATGATGCGTTTACCTCCAAAATGATGTTTGCGGAACTGTATTTCATCGTCATTGGGATAAAGGGTTTCCATGTTGATGGATTGGAAGAACTTGGATTTTAATCGACGCCAAGAATCATAAAACTTCCTTAAAACCAGTTTCCATTGAGAAAATGAGAACCAACAAGCAATTATCTTATCCCGATATCCAAATAACAAATTTCCAAATGAATAAAGCACGTGTCCTCAAGCGAATGCGTGCGGCATATTGAGTGTCTACTGTCTTGACTCTTAACAGTTAACGACTGGGAAATGGGAAGTGGAAAAAGAAAAGAAAAGGAAACAACACAATAAACACAAATAGTAAATACACAAACACAATGATAAATTGATAACAGGACGGCGGAATGGTCAAAAACTCGCTCGCACGGTTAATCAGCAGGCTGGTGTCCAAATTCTTTTAAATTGAACAAGCCAACAATAGATTTGTTTCCAGTTCCACTTTCGAGGGAATATTGTAATATTGGAATATTGTAATAATATGGTATTATTTAATCTTTTATATTGCCGTGTTAAGATAGTACTATCATAGAATAGAATGAATAGATTAAAATCGTGAATATTTTGTAGATCTTAAAATATTTATAGGTCGCATCCACATAGTCTATCCAAGGTTAGGTTATTTTTCTAACCTAACCTAACCTTGAGTCTATCTTAGCCCGTGGTCGCATCAAAATCAAAACATAGCGAAAACCTCACGAGGTCGTCTAAATAAAACCTTTGAATTTGTTAGCGCCAACACTGTGGCATTGTTAGTTGTCGAGGTTGTCACCCTGCGCCCTAGGACAGTAGGACTGGACCCGGAGGCTGGAGCGACTGCGGAGACTCTCGTACAGTCGTACATGATAAATGTCTCGTAGACAGTCTAGGTAGGTTTTAAAGTTATTGTTCACGTTACTATTTTTTTTTTTTATAACCGTATTTGTTAGTAACCCATCTATTAATATTTGCTGTTCTTGTAATAATAAACTTCCATTAACTATTACCATACTTGTTATCATTACGTATCCTGACACGAGCTCATATATGTATTATACCGTTCTCAAATCATAATATAATAACTGGAGTTACCAAATTTTATAAGAGGCGAATTTACATAAATTTTTAAACTAATGGAGCTAAACGTTATCTGCTAAGCGTAAAATTTGGTAAGACCACGGACTAAGATATATATGTATATCATATATATCTTAGTCCGTGGACAAGACGAAGCTTGTTGCTAACAACACGTGCGGGCTATCACGTCTTCTTTAAATTAATAAAGGAATCTGATTCTGACTTTTGTTTTAAAATGTATACACTGGAATATTATTTTGAAATTTTATAATAATTTCAATATTGTTATGTTTTATTATTCCATGCTATTTTCTATAACCACTATTTAAGAATATTATCGTTAGGTTAGGTTAATTGTGGTATGAACTAAAATCATAGATAATATATAATATATATATTTATCTATTCTGTGTTATATATAATATAATAATATATATTATCTATGACTAAAATGTACTTATGATAATTATCTTATTTTTTTTTTTTTTGATAAGAACAATGACACTTATTGTAATATTTATTTATAGATTGCGTGTGTTAAAAATAGAAGTTAAAAAAAACAAACAAGAACTATTAACTAATACATTTTAATGTTCCAGGCAAAAATGCATAACATAATAGATGATAACTAACATATTGTGGGCGGCAGGGCAGAAGGGGCCTTGATCGCATTTTATGATCTGTGACCTCTTAAGCCTATTGTCTTGTTTTCAAAATTAAACATACAACATAAAAGTTCAGCTGTTTCTATTGGTTTACTGAACTCCTGTCATGGTTTTATCATCAACACGGCCCGCGAACTACAAGTCCCGACACGGTCCAGTGTCCACCACTGCAGTGGACGGCGACCATCACGCAAGCCAGTTTCGACGAGCGCTCGCTTTCACGGCGGTGCAATTATCGCACCCGAGCCGGCTGAGCCCGCGTTACGGCCTACGACCAAGCACCGACGACGCCGTGAAAGCCGTTCTCGGACAGAACGTCAGGCAGAGGCAGTGTCAGCCTAAGAGTTATCTCCCGCCCGACAAAAGAGATACAGCGCGTACGATGACGCAGAGAAAATTCCCGCCGCGTATCTATTCACAGGGCGCGCGACATTTCGTCTGCATTACATCGAAGGGCGCCTCACGCGCGACACTATAATATATTATGAATCGATCGCATGCCGTTCACTTCAACGTGTTTACACTATGAAGACAGAAAAGATCATCGACCGACAGGTACCTACGACAAATTTCGTTTCTGTCTCATTTAATATACTATAGTCGGTTGAATGAAAAGTGGCCGCTGGCAATATGATAGGAACCTTTTTTTTTTCGATAAGCCATGGGTTGTCAAAGTGAATCACGTAAAGCGCGATTGATAACAACATCTGGCCGGTGCGCGGTTGAAAACGTTTTTTTTTTGCTTTTTGGCTTCGTCCTTATGGTTTAGTTACCACTTGTGACCTTCGGCGTTTGTAGTATATTTAATGGAGGGACTCATCCCGGTGGGACAACATATATAAACTACATGAGGAATGTGTATTGTACTATTGTACCCATAACATCAGCTTCCCTACCACGATATTCGTCATTCGGCTACGATTTTTGTCCGTGTTATGTTGTGTTTTGTTACATTTGACTTCAGAAAGTGAATTTAACCATTACATTATTATTTACTACTGTTTTTTAGATAGAGTTTTTTTTTAAATTCTATAATGGCCGGCAATAGTAGTGATACTCGTAGTCAGAGCAAAAAAATCATTTTTTCGGTGTACAATTTTATAAAAGACTTATCGAAACAAAATGAAATTGTTCCATCTATGTTTGCTCAAAGTCTAAAGGTAACAACTGAAGCTTGTGGATTATCAGAACGAACTGTGAGGCGCATATGCAAAGAGGGTAAGGATAATTTGGATCCAGAACAACAAGTTGCTTCGTTCAAGTCTCCGCGTAAAAGTTTAAACGTGCAAAACCGTTGAATTAGACGATTTTGATGCAGACATAGTACGTAGAACAGTGCACGAGTTCTACAATAGAGGTGAGTACCCAACAGCTCTTACTGTTTTAACGGAGGTAAAGGAGAAGTGCAATTGGGAAGGCTCTGTTTGGTCGATGCGTACGCTTCTTAAAAATTTGAAATTTTCTTTCAAAAAGTGCAACGATGGAAGGAAATTTCTCATGGAAAGGAACGACATTGTTGCACTACGTTGTGCATTTTTAAGAAAAATTTGTACACTTCGAGAACAAAACGACACCCGTCCTGTCGTTTATTTGGACGAGACGTGGTTTAACCAAAACCATAGCAGAACACGCATATGGCAAAATGACGAAAATACCGAAGGTTTAAATGTTTAAAAGTACCCACTGGCAAAGGAGGTCATCTTATTATTTGCCACGCAGGGTCTGCAAAATATGGGTTTGTTAGCGATTCCAAATTAATATTTCGAGCTAACGTTAGCAGTCTTGAGAGTGACTATCATACCTCAATGAATGCTGAGGTATTTAAAAAATGGTTTATTGATATGTTGAACCACCTCGAAGAGCCGTCGGTTATTGTGATGGACAATGTATCTTACCACTCAATGCTCAAAGATAATTTCCCCAAAAGCAATAGTCGAAAAATCGTTGTTGAAGAGTGGCTGAAAAATAAAAATGTTGAATTTTCACCACAAGAATGGTTGTCTGAATTACGTGAGCGTGTAAAACAACTTATTCGTTATATAAGCGATACGATAGAAATAGCGATAGAAATAGTACTGGAAATGGGCCATGAAGTGATAAGGTTACCTCCATACCATTGTCAATATAACCCAATTGAATTGATCTGGGCACAGGTTAAAGGGGAGGTAGCTAAAAAAAATAATACTTTTAAGATGGCAGACGTAGAAAAGTTGGCGCACGCGGCTATGGATGCAGTAACACAGGAGGATTGGCAGAAGTGTGTTGCACACGCGGAAAAAATTCAAGATGAAGATAATAGCAAAGAAATATTAAGGGATGTCATGTTGGAGCCGATCATTATCACATTACAAGATGACGATAGCGATTGGGGCGATGAAGATGATGAAGACATATTTGAGGCCGATCTTTAGTTTAAGTTTCTTGGATTGAAATAAATTATTTTCTATATATTTGATCTGAATTTGTATTATATTATATGACTTGTACATACATTTGAATGACTTCTGTATTAAATTAAATTATTATTGCTTATATTTTTATTAAAATTCTTGATTTGTATTGGAATAACATGTAATTGCATTATGGTTAATAATTCAAAATTCGCGCGCTTTTTTCCATAATTTTCCGATACAATGACAAAAATTCACCGCTAGGTGCGTGGGCATCAGCGGTCACTTTTCATTCACCCGACTATAGGTATATAGTATATATATATATATATATATATACACAAGCTGAAGTGTCTGAACACTCTGAACTCTGAAGCGACGAACACGTTTCGCGGACAAGGGCTAAGGGCAACACCGTCCCCAACGCTCTGCAGTCGACACTTGAAATCACCAAGACGACAGCGCTACCGTACTTACGGCAGTGGGCAATCGACCGAGCTAAAGATCCGCAGCTCCTGCAGTGTATACAGAACATTTATACCTGCACCGTCCATCGGATACCTGCAGTGGCGCCAAAGTCCAAAATTTTACCCATGACATCAGACATCTCCACATAAAATTTTGACACCCACCTATTTCTTATWATTACCTTAMCTTATAGTTTTTATGAAATATTATCAACTTTTAGTTTACAATTGACAGTAATATCTAATACATGCAATTATCCATATCGTAATATATTTAAAATGACAAACGTTACCCTCCTACCTACTAAAATCATCTATGACAGCTGTCATAGGTAAATATATATTTTGGCGCCACTGGGATACAATAGTACTAATAGCAAGTACTAAACGTCGTCGACCGATTCACGCGCTTCAGGTTGGCTGATCGAGAACATGTGCAGTCTCGCAGATCTTAACGATAACGAACTGGATGGCTGCACGGTTCGGCGTGATGTCTGACGTCAACGCCGACAGTTCGAGTAGGATCCGTTATTCACATCTACACTTTTGATCACCTTTTTGGCATCGTTCAGCACATTCGAACACCGCGTATCACCCTCTGATCGACGCTATGGTAGTAGGTTTTCACCGCACGAATCACCCGGCGAGCTGCTTACCGTACTATACTCGCGCTGCGCAACACGCAGTCAAAGCGGCCGGCGTCGAACAAGCACCGGCCGAGTTGGTATACGGCACCAACATGATGCTCAGAGTCTCAGGCGAGTATACAATATTCACCCCGCTCAACGCGAACGGTCCGTCACGGCGTGGATTGCCATCAACCGACTCAAACCAGCATCATTCATCGTTCGGGAGGATCCACTTATTCCACTTGCCGACCATCACACGTTATATACGAAGTCCAACCGAATTTCGCACCGTTCTATATTTTTTGTCACGCCTGCACCGAAAGTTTGGTTTTCGACAACGGTTGAAGCGTTSGAAAGCRTCCTTTTWCCKTCCAGCGGGCGGTAAAGTGGAAATCCCCAAAGTGCCGGGCGGAAAAGAGGAAATCCCCAAAAGTGCCGGGCGGAAAAGAGGAAATCCCCAAAAGTGCCGGGCGGAAA